TTACTTCCAGGATCAGGGAAGGGCTTTAAACTTGTAACCAAGTTGGATTTCTGCGTCTGCACGTTGCAAGTATCTAAACACCAGCCAGACTGCATGGCGAGTCAAGCGGAACCGGAATGCCATCGATGCACCGTCCTGTGGCTGTACACGGGGACGGCGCGTGTCGTGTCACTCGGTCCCCCGTGTCGTGTCGCTCGATGTGTCCAGCCTGGGCGGTCCTGTGTCTCCGGCCACCACCCCACCGTGTTCGGAGGCAGCCTGAACAGCTCCAGCTGTATGCAACATCGTGTTACCCTTGCCGTACTTGCATGGTATCAGCCTGCATTAATGTGGTCACTTACATACCTACCGTAAGTAGCGCACCTGTCTCGATACTGGACAGGGTACGGCCTCGGTTAAAACGCTTCAAGGACATTGGCGTGCCGGGAAGACGACAGGGAAGGGACTGCCATGCCTTCGGCATAAGTAGGCATTGGCTTATTGTTGGTAACTCCCAGAAAAAAGCTTTCGTAGGGCATCCCATCACATCTATATCGTTAGGTCTATGTAGTTTTGAGATGCCGAATCCGATGCTTCTTCATCTATGCCTGTGCGTAAAACTTTCGGTCAATTCGCGAGGATTAGGTACTGATGACTGAGGAAACCATGGTCAATGATCCAGTGGTTGGCGGCTCACCAGTGGCTCTATAGTCTGATGTCAGATTGAGCTCGTCTCGTGCGACGGGCACCTCCGGAGCATCGACAGCCTCGTGTCGGTCACGTTGCCCGCGACGCTCCCCTCCCCTTCACCTACTACCCCCCCCCCCCCTCCCTCCCACTATACGGGGTTTCCGAGCCACCTCGCCAACTCGGGACGCCACGGGACGCTTCTTGCTGGTCGGTAAAAACAGAACGGTGCGCCGCCGTGCGCCTGTCGGGGGCACGGCCAACACCCGCGGCGCCAGCTCGGAACAATTACATCAGGCACGGCAAATGACGGACAGAGATGTGATTCAATGGCGTGTTAAGTACACATCAATCGACGAGACTCACTATCGTTAATACGTTATCATTCTATCGGATATTTTTATATGCATACCTATCGTGGAAAGAGTGTAATGACACGATCTTCTAATATTGTGTGGCATAATGATCATCATATTATTACGGAGCGAGTGAAGCGAGCGGAGTCTTACGTAGAATAACGGAAATTTCTGAGTATGAGCGGCCGGCCGATTCTGCGACGCTTATATCTCAGCAACCACTTGACCGATTTACATGCGGTAATTTTTGTAGGGTAGCTTCATTCCTTCTACCAAGTATTGGACTATTCCCGATGCATGTGGGTGACCCCTTATGCACGTGCCACGTGCAAAACGAAGAGGTGTCACTTTTGTAATTGTTGCAATATCTCGGTAACTATTTGGCCGATTGCGCTGAAAGTTGGCATGCAGGTAGGCACCCACTAGGCAATGCATATCCATGTGCCGGAGTTGGGGTGCTGCTGCATGTGCGCACGTGCAGGGGTCGATTCCAGATCTCGAGAACGGCTGGACCGATGGCGCTCAAATTTGGTACATGGCTAGGGACCGGTTAGTAGGGTGCCGTGCAAAAGTCAGTTGGGACCCATTTTGCACGTGCGCACGTGCAGGGTGCCGCTTCCAGATCTCGAGAACGGCTGGGCCGATCGTGCTCAAATTTGGCACATCGCTAGAGACCGGTTAGTAGGGTGCCGTGCACAAGTCAGCTGGAGGTACCCCGTCGAAATTTCACACGTGCAAGGCTCACCCTCTCGCTCGCTCCGTTAGTCGCCCCAAAAGGCGTTATAATACTGGTTTCATAATATGATGACGTGCTTTGCCCCTTGCTCGATACGATACGAGAGCGAGAGCGAGAGCGAGAGCGAGAGCGAGAGCGAGAGAGAGAGAGAGAGAGAGAGAGAGAGAGAGAGAGAGAGAGAGAGAGAGAGAGAGAGAGAGGAGAGAGAGAGAGAGAGAGAGAGAGAGAGAGAGAGAGAGAGAGAGAGAGAGAGAGAGAGAGAGAGAGAGAGAGAGAGAGAGAGAGAGAGAGAGCCGCTGTAGCCGGGTGGTTGCCCGTGTTTTTCTCGGTCGGTAGGCGGCCGTTTGAGCTGCCGTACGATCCATAATGGGTGATGTGTGGTCGTGATTCGGCCGCAGTAGCAGGGAGGGAGTCGACATTAATTGCCGCCCGTCGCGCCGTATTTATAGATGAATCGACGTGCCGGTGGGCGGGCGCCGGTCGACACGGCTCAGCTCGTATAGCCGCGGATGGTGAAACACGTCACCGGCGGCACGGCAGCTGTTAGTGGCTGCGGTAGCTGTCAGTAGCACGACAACTATCAGTGGCACGGTGGCTGTCAGTGGCTACAGCTGCCATTAGCTGCCTGCGGCACAGCAGCTGTCAGTAGCTGCTATGCGGCAGCACGGCAGCTGTCAGTTGCACGACATCTGTCTGCAGCTGTTAATAGTTAGTACGGTAGCTTTGAGCAAATGCATGGCACGGCAGCTGTCAGTTACTGTGGCAGGTGTTAGTTGCTGCAGCTGCCACTGCCAGTGGCTGTTGTCAGAAGTTGCAGCTGTCAGTAGCACGGCAGCAGTCAGCGACTGCGACGAGCAGTCAGCGTCAGTAGCTGCAGCGTAGGTACCTATATGTCAGTGGCTTCATCTGTCATTTGCCGCCTCTGTCAGTAGCTGCGGCACGACAACTGCCAGTAGCACGGCAGCTGTCAGTGACTGCAGCTGTCGCCTGTCCGTGACGGTAGCCTGCTGGTCAGTGCCGACAGACGCTATTACGACAGCTGTCAACAGCTGTTACTGGTCAGCAGCTGCTACTGACGGCAACACTTCAACTTTCAGTGACAGCAGCTGCCGGCAAGGTGACAGCAGCTGTTGATGAATGCTGACGAACACCGCACGCCATCATGATGTGACAATTATCCAATTATGCACTGAAGGCAGAATAAATACCGCTTCTTTGGCCTCCAGGCCCGTCGGCGCCGCGCCGCCGCGCCGCCACGACGCGACAGCCCCTAGCCCCGTATGGTGCCGAAAAATGGATACCGTTCCTACTGATTGAGACCGGGCTGATTGCATCGATGGGCGCAAACGACACGTGGGTAGTATTTTGCCTGGTGACTGGGTAGTGGGTGGCTTACAAACTGTGTAGTACCCTGTTACGTATATTTTTACAAAAGCAGATAAAACTACACCCAGTCCCGCCACACATCTTCATTTTTGTATTTCAGCTCGGGGCGAACTGCCCTTTTTTCCTAAATTTCATGCATTGGTGAACAAATTCCACCAAGCACAAGAAACCATTTATCGCGACGTAGTGCACCATCGCCAGACACAGAAGAAAATTTGTTACCGTGCAGATCTGCGGGGACCGCTGACACCAGACCTTGGGAGATTTGTCGGCGCGTCTGCAGGCCGCCGTCCCAGTCCCAGGTGCGGGCGATTAATTACGCCACGCTCCTCCCAATGTGCGCTATCCTGGGTGGACCAGCTTCACGCTGGCACGCGCTCCGTTCATTTTCAGCAGTCGCTGCACCGCAGCCAAGTCACGGAGCGCGCCGGATGTCCTGCCCGTCCCCTCCGGCCCCGAAGGACGGTCATCGGCCGGCCCGGAGGACGGTCCCCACTCCCAGAGGCTCTGGGGACGGTTATTCCTATGCGCTGAGGACGGCTATCGGCCCGGGGTGGCCGACGTGCTTACAGCTCAACCATTGGTAACAATGTTCGCACATATGTAGTCATTTAATTTTTCAGCCTGCAGGTCGGCATCGAAGGACACGGGGCACAAGCATTTTTTATTGCTCGACTATGCTATGTATGAATATGCCGTTTTAACGGAGGGTGATGCTCGATGATTAAAACCGACATGCCACTTGACAGTGACGCTTATAGTGTGATGGACCAACCCTTTTAAAGACATAATCCTGCAACTGAAGTGTCGTACTACCCACGTCTAGCATTCTAGTCAGCTGTGAACAGTAGCGATAAAATCCTTTTCGTAACGGCATAAGTGTTCCCTAGAATCTCCCACCCACAGACTGATGATATACGGCCATGTCTTCAGCAAATTTGGCTGGTCGGTAGTAGGTAGGGACAGGGCTCCGCCGGTATCGTGTCATAACACCTGTCGTCAGCCCAGGTGACGCGGTTGACACTGGTCGCAGCAGCGGTCGATGTCCTTTTGGGGCGGCGCGGCGTGCGGTACGCAGCGCGGCCCGCCCGCTGACGTAGGCTGCTTCTCTCGGCACCTGTTGAACGCTCATCACTCCAGCTGATAACCGGCTCGGCCTCGAACCCATGTGCGTGTGCAGATTGCTGCAGTTAGGCATTTAATCCCGCTCTGATAGATAGCGATTTCCGCGGCCAAATAGACGGCCAATTTGTCTCGGCTGACAGACAACCGAACCCGTCCCGTTTAGGCAAGCTAGGCAGTCAGTTTCGTCCTGATTTGTAGCCAATCCCTCCCTGGCCTCAGCAATCTCTACCTAGGTATCTGTTAGGCTGAAGATTGTTTTCACTTTTCTACATGTTTATCCTTCATGTTTTGGCTCAATTCATCATGTCATGTACAAACCGTAAATCTTTTACGTTTTGTACCTACCTACAAATGGAAACATTTTATCCCCAGCATTAAACATTTACCCACACAGCGCAATCAGACCAAACTGGGACCATGGTCAGCCGTCAGTAGGCGCATCGTTCCCCGAGTTAAATGACCTCATGACTACCAGCCAGGCTGACCGTTGCGTGCCCGCGTAATGGTTCACCGCGTGTTATGCAACCAGGCCGGCCGGCCGCCCGCATTCAAGGACCGCTGACATGATCAATGATCATGGTCAGCGTCAGACCGTTTGTCTTTGTACGCGAGATCACTGCGAGGCGGCGCGCCACCTGTGCCTCTTCCATGTGGAATTATGAACTATTGCTAGCAAGTGCAAGTGCTGTGAACATTTAACATTGTTTCTGACTCATTCACTGATGTTTCAGCCGTTTTGGTGGCATCTGTCGACATCGGTGACACTTCTGATGTCACGAAGAACGTTCAAACCGTTTTGGAGGAGCACCACTCCTTGGACACTTCCAAAGGCCAAAACCTGAACAGGTGAGGACAAAGAGCAAAATTGTACGGAAGTCTTGCCAGGTGTCAATATCGTATCTGTTCTGTTTTCCCTTGGACCTCTAATTAAACTTTCAACATAGCTCGACCCAGGGCCTCGTCTAAGGAATTTTCACTGGGGGGGCCAGAGACTGAAGGAGCCAAACCTAGGGTACCCCCAAATCCTGTTTTCTCACCGGATTTAGACCACTTATTTTTCATCACAGCCCTGATACCATGATTTTTTTTTTGAAAACTAAAAAAAAATAGTAGGCCATCCGACCCATGCTTGTATACCTATTAGTTTATAGCCCCCTCACATTGCCCCATCAGGCAATAATAATCACACTTCTCGTTGTTGAGCGTGTGATTGAGTGGCAGTGCCTTGTCTAAGGAATTTGCATGCCGAGCCTTATGTCGAGGGCCCACACGCATATGTATTTTTTGCGAACCACATCGGTTACAGATGGGCCCCTCTGAGCGCTCGATGCCGATCTCTGAGGGCTAATGCCAACGTCTGGACCTATATTTCGGCCTCTATGGTAGCCCACACTGGTTTTATATGATCCATACCAGGCTTTAATGGTCAATCTGAGTGGAGACCGTATTTTCCCACTAGGGCCCCCTCAGACCAGATGCCTGTGTATCAACTTGGAGACTGATGGCTTCTCAGGTGGATTCTCCGTAATCGCCGTGGATCTTCAACACAACCTTAAGGTCGTCAGAGGCTATAAGCTAAACAAAAATGAAGATTACCCCGTGTAGTAGTGCTTTGAGGCCCGTTGGGACCCTAAGTGGCTGGCATTTGCCCCCCAGGACTCCATGCCGACTTCTTTAGATAATCCAGCTGTCAGAGTTCCCGTCCCCACAGACAGACCACCAATCTGGCATCTGCGCCTGCGTACGACCACCCAGAACGGGAGCCTGCTTCATTACGATTAGGAGCTACTCTAGCCGCACACCGGTGACCGTCCAGCCAGAAGTTGGACGCCGCTAGCGAGGACGACGATAGGCAAAAACAAGAGATTGGCGCCCCGAGGGGCGAAGACAGAAACAACAGATTGATACCTAAAGGAGAAATTGTTGCCGGTAGAGCCTTGGACTCCGCGTGGTGAGGGCACGCGTCTCGGTTATAACAGTCCGGGTTCGAAGCGCGACATCGCTCGATCTTTATGACCCTCCTGGCGAGTACATGGTTACCTACGGTTGGTGGCAGGCCGTAGCCATTCGAAGTCAGTGAGGGGACCGGCCGTGTGCGGCTATGTGCATACGTTAAACTTTGGGCTCTAAATTCTGCCATAGATCACGAATTGCGCGATCGGAGGGTAGAGGGCAGGGCCAACGCAAAGCTCTGCTTAGCGGGGGCTCTGTACTTGTGAATCCTTCCATTCAAAAGGTTCGGACTAAATTTATGAAAAAAGAATATCCGGGACACGGAGTTGGGCGCCTGAAAAGACGAAATGTAACGCATTGCTGAGCGAAAAAAAAAGGTTCAGGTAAACAAAATAAACACATAACAGCCCTAGGTAATGAGGTATTTCAATGTGCTCACATTGCATCGTTTCGTTTACGCATTTGTTTTTATGTGCACTGACGCCGCGAAATAAAAATTAGTTTGCCTTTTGGCTATTGCCGGCCCCCCCAGTAGTGACTTTTTGCCCTGACTGGGGGGGCCAGGTCGATGACTGCGGGGGTTTAGCCCCCCCAGTTAACATGTTAGACGAGGCCTTGGCTCGACCTCTGCACATTGAACCTGAATATTTACCTATTTGTTTGTTTGAAATAAGCATAGGTACTAGTTAGTGACATGGGATCGGGAATAGAAAGAGAATTTCCTGGCTTTCATGTTTTTAAATTGCATCTGTTAAAAAAAAAACATCACGACAAAAACAAGATGATTAATCCTTATAACCCATAAATAACCTAGAACCTACAAAACTGAAGGGCTTTAGCGGGGCTTTCAGACCCTGCTCTGTGGCCCCGGGCACAGCTGACCGAGTCGCCCACAATCCACAGTTTCGGCTGGGCGCCCGTCTCCCGGCTGCGTCGAGCGGCGACTGATGACTCCTCTCTCAGTCGCCGGGAGAGGCGCCGACGCCAGAAGGAAGCCAAGGAGCTGGAGCGGCGCAGACGCAAGGAGGCCAAGGAGCGCGAGCGTCTCAGGAGACAGCAGGAGCGCCAGGAGAGGAAGGAGAGACTCCGGGAGGAGAAGCGACTAAAGAAGCAGCGAGAGCGAGAGGAGAAACGGCGGCTCCGTAAACTGCAAAAGGCACTCGAGAGGAAAAAGAAGAGAAAAGGTATGGACGTCGATAGTATTCATATTGATATTGACGGAACTGTCGCATATTTGTGGTCAGTCGGCTGTCATAATTTGTAGTGGTGCCTATATTGTCTTGTTTCACAGAAATCGTTACTCCGAAAAATGGTTCATGTTTTTAGTCGTAAACTTTTTACGTTAAAATCTGGTACCGAAAGCAAATGTAAACATGGTGTGCTGCTTATTTGCCATAACGACTTGTTATCATCGGAGTCTGCACTCTGCAGTCTGCACAACATGCAGGGCCAATTTTAACTTCGATTTTTGTTTCAGACAAAAAACGGACATCTAAGAACAAAAATGCCTCTCCGGTCGTCATCGACATCCACCGCTCTCCGGGAGCTTACAACCACACTTCGGCTGATCCCGGCACGGCTTCCACACAGCACCTCCAGACCTCCACTACCCCCGCCGCCACCACCACGCCCAGTCCGACGAGTCAGGACCTGACGCCCACACAGGCGGCCTACACGGAGGCCTGGGTGACGGCTCCTACCTGGCTGGTGGGCTCCACACTAGCTGACCCGCGACTGGAGGCCTCGTCGGCCGATACAACCGGCAGAAAACGCAATGTCGATGATTATACTGACGAAGAGGGTGAGGAAGAGGACTATTATGATGAAGAAGATGAGGAGGAGGGACAAGAAGAGGATGAGGAGGAAGACGATTATGATGAAGGCTCTGATCCCGCTGAGGGTGCTGATGCTGGAAAAGAAGTCGAAGCTGATACTGCTCAGAGAGCAGAGGCATCACAATCGAATAGTGAAAATTCCTCGAACGGTAATACAGAACGTACGCAAGACAGTGACTCGGATGGCTCTGCGAATAATAAAGGAAATGAAGATGAGGACACAAACGAGCTCCCGGAGAGCGGAGACGAATATTACGATGGTGACGATTACTATGATGACGGTGACTATTACTATTACGATTACGAGGAAGGGGAAGAACCAAACGGACAATCTTCGCGTGACGAGGACCAGGATAGTGAAGATGTCCCGGTCCCAACCACACCAGCCACCACAGCACCTACTACCACCACTACCACAACAACCACAACCACAACTACAACACCTCCAACTACCACTACAACTACTGTGGCAACAACGACGACCACCACTAGAGCGCCTACCACAGCAGCCGCTCCCACGGCAAGCGGTCAGAGAGAACCATCCGTTGACCGTCGGCCAGCCGACTACAACGACCTCTATGACGACGACTACCTCGACGGAGCTGGGGAGGGTGCACCGGCGGATAACGGGCGCACCTCACCACCTCAACCTACCGAACAGAAGGAGACAACTGCTAGCACCAGCGACGATGATTACTACGACTATGGCACTGACGACTATGACTACGAGTACTACGACCAAGCCAACGAGATAGACGCAGCGGTCGAAACAAGGAGGCGTCCTCCGCCGCCACCGCCTGCGACCACCCGCGCGCCGCCGCCGCCGCCTCCGCCCCCTCCAGTGGTGACCGACCCCTCAGGGGGTCAGGATGAGGACCAAGAGCTGGCCGAGCTCGCCGCTGACAGAGTAGCTGCTGAGAAAGCCGAGAGTGCCTTCGTGGAGAAGCTACCTGATCGGCTGAATCGTACCGCGCTCGACCTCTCCTGTCTGAAGCTGTTTGGACAGGGGGATCTGCCACGAGTAGTGCCACCGGCCGTGGCGCACGGCGGCGTGGTCTCCTATAACAGGTCAGTGAGGAAGGGTGATATATTTGTACAGGACTGTGGGGAGTTGTGATTTCCTATAACAGCACGCCCGTGCGAGGATTCTATTCATTGATCGGTAGGGGCGGGGGTTGTGCTATATCATTTCGGTGGAAGTTCATTGGTATGGTAGGTAAGTGAGAAATGAGGATGTCATCAGCTATGACGATTTTAAGAGAACAGTGTGTAGGGGTGATATTTCTATGCCAATATGCACCGAACGATGTCGGTATCCACGCCTAGAACCGTGTCCGACCGCTGTCCACAGGGTGACCAACCCGGAGACTCCCAACAACGTGTACCTGGAGGCGCGCTTCATCTGCGAGGGAGGCTACGAGATGGCCGACGATCGCTTCAGCACCGTCTACTGCTCCGAGAGGAAGTGGCACGGAGTCCTGCCCAGATGCGAGCCAGTCGGTGAGAGCTCGCCTTAGTTTTCACTTGTTTCTCTCGGTGTCCAAAGTATTGCTTGTCTTATTGCTTCGTTTAAAAAAGGTATATTGTTCCCGAGACGGTGTAGAATCAAATCCATGTTGTAAAAAATCAGGCGTACAGCAACACATACCTACATGACTGCATGTATCTCCTTTGCTGTGGCTGATCTATTTTGCATGTTTTCATGCAGCACCGTTTACATGTAGGTAAGTGAAGAATTTCATTACTAAATTGATGATTGTTGGTTGATAACATTTTCAGCAACTAATACCCATACTTTATTTCATTTTGACGATCTTTTTCGACACATAACTTCCCCTCTTTCATCTTTATCGGGCTCAGTTAACGAAATTCGGCTGGTGGTGTCTCAGGCGCAGAAAGGATTGCACTGGAGCGTGGTGACTATATGAACCCCACTGAATCTGTTTCCAGAGGTGCCATCGGAGCCTGTCTGTGGCGGCGACAACGGCGGCTGTGAGCAGGTGTGCCAGGTCACCGGAGGTCAGGTCAGCTGCGCCTGTCACAGGGGATACCAGCTGGCCGACGACGGCGTCTCGTGCGAGGGTGAGTGCGCTTCACTTCTGTAAGAAAAGGAAGTCTGGACTGGGATCGTTTAACAACACCAAAGTATGTGTGGGTCAGGCATATGTCCAAGAAAGACTTCTGTGCAACGCACACTTTTGTCGGAGTTAAGCATCGGTCATGTACTGACTTTGATATTTGTCCTCCGTCTATTTCTGACCACTAACGCTATCATCTGTCGGATTCTGACTTATCTTCCCCTCGCTGTTGACAGATGAAGACGAGTGTGCCGGCTCCGAGGCCGTGTGTGACGGCGTCTGTTTCAACAAGCGCGGCTCTTACCAGTGCTACTGCCCTCGCGGATACAGGCTGGCTTCCACCGGCGACCAGTGCATCGGTCAGTCTGATCTCCGAGGGACTAGCTGTGTGGTTTCTTAGCGCGGGTTACAGGGGCCTCAGCGCAGACCATAGAGAGCCCTGGGCTATCGGTGCCCACGAGAAAGATTTCGTGTGTCCTCAGCTCTGTGTCGTACTGACACGTTTTCGTCGCATCATAACTGCATCGTCAATTGATGTGAATGTAAGTGCATGCGTTGTGTAATAGGCATACCTGATACCACAATACTTATTTCCTTCAAATGTAAGCATTTGACATCATGATCTCGTTGTAAATAGTTATGCGGCGACGCGCCGTTCATTCTAAAACCTCATTCTCTCCCAATGTGCTATTATCTGACTTTCTGACTGCGTTCCACCAGACAAGAACGAGTGCCTTCTGCGGAACGGTCACGGCCCGTGTCAAGACCAGTGTATCAACACAGAGGGCGGCTATAAGTGCTCCTGTGACGGCGTTCCAGGTGAGAGAACCGTCTGTCAGATACTCACTCCTGCCTCAGGGACCGCAGTCCGCCTGATAGTATCGATCCCAGCCAACAGAGTCGGCGTTTACAGACTTCTACCGCTGTACTGCAAAAACAACCAGAGCCTGTTTGCCAGTGTATTTTCCCTTTTCCTTCCCCATTTGTCTCCCCTTCCGTACACCGACTGACCAATGAGTAAATCACTCGCCAATACTTATCTTACTGATCGGCCACCGCGCTTTGTCATTAGCACCACTCTCACTTTAATCCGGCTTTCCCTCAGGCACTCGTCTCTCCTCTGACGGCCACACTTGCGAGGACCTGGACGAGTGTAAGGTCAACAATGGCGGCTGCTCGCACGGCTGTCTCAGCACGCTGGGCTACGTGTTCTGCACCTGTCCGGCCGGCTACCTGCTCGGAGACGACTGGAAAAACTGCAACGGTATGCAGTTTGTATTCTAATGCATTTACTCGGGTTGTTTTAAATTGGAGGATTGCTAACACTTTATCGGGATATGTCAATCAATTGCAGGGTATAATGAAAAGGTTAAATGCTAACCGTTCATCACCAGTCCGATACGATGCTTCTCGCATATTTAATAGGAAATTTATTTGCCTTTTTTATACTACGAAATGCAGTTAATCCCAGAGATGTAATCCGATGTGCTGATTAGGACGTTTACAAGAGAACCTCTGCCTATACACCAAACCATATCCTAGCTTACACTACGCATCGATACTTTGCCTGCAGATGTGGACGAGTGCGAGGACCCGTCCGTGGCCAGCCAGTGTGCGCACGGCTGTATCAACACCCCGGGCAGCTACCACTGCGGCGAGAGGAGGGCGCCTGACTGCCCGCACGGCTTCACCAGGGAGCCGGACGGCAGCTGTCTCGGTGTGTAAAGTAAAATTCTGTCCACGGGATGTGCTACGGACCTGTCTTTTTCGTCGTAAGTGAGGCACCGGTCTGCCTCTGTCCTCCGTTCCCTGTTTTCCATCCTCAGGACAGACAAATCTTTCTCCTCCACGCCTCTTTTCCCTGCTCCGGGCTGGACGGGCAGCTTTATCCCATGCGGGATTGCCCGCAAGAGCACGCCCGTAGCCGGGTGCGGTGAGTGCTTGGGGGGCTGATCGGCCTGCCCTCTGGACGGGCTCAGCCCCGGCGAGGCTCACCAGGGTGCCCGCCCAGACCAATGTCTCCCCCTAATTCCTATCATCCTTTCGGCCCTGAAATGGTCTCGTCGGACCGAAAGGGCCTATCCCATCAAGACAATCTGCCTCTGTGATTCGTTGCGGACCGGTATGTTTTTCGGGTATGTCATGGGACCAGTCTTTCTCCAGGGCATGCCTGGATATCCTCGGGGGTATACCATCTCAGGACCAAGTCATGGGATCCATGTGACTCCGGGGATCTGTCCGGGCAGATTGAAGGGTAGGCATATCCTCAGTAGTACAACAAGTCAGGTCCAATCCATTCGTTGACCGTTAATCACTGTGTTTGGTGTTATCTCTGACATTTTCCGTTTCGGCAGACATCGACGAGTGCGAGGACGGCTTTGGCTGCTCTCACGATTGTGAAAACCTGGAAGGCTCGGCCCGCTGTATCTGTCCGTATGGCTTTAGCCTCGGACCCGACGGGAAAAACTGCGAAGGTAAGAAGGCGGCTGTCTAGTACTATCTCAGTGAGGATTGGTCTATTTGCGGTGTATGCTATGAACCGGATCCTCCCGGACATACAAGAGCCTGACTCCGGGATATATTGAGGAACTGTTTTTACGAATATGTAATGGATTTGGTCCGCCTTTCGTGTATATCAAGCCCGTGACATTTATGTTGCAGAGCTTGACCATGATGTTATCTCTGGTTCTCTCCGGCAGATATAAACGAGTGTGAGTCTGGCTTTGGCTGCTCTCACGATTGTGAGAACCTGGAAGGCTCTGCTTTATGCATATGTCCGTTGGGCTTCAGGCTTCGGCCCGATGGCAAAATATGTGAAGGTAAGAGAACTTCAAATGGAAACAACGATGCTCTGCGCATTTATCATCATTGGTTTGTTAGTGCTGATTTTCGAATGTTGCTGTCAAGATGACACATTTTGTTTAGCTTGCAAGTTTATGCTAAGCTAAGACCGCCAAAGAAGCAGGGGAAATAATCCTAAGAAAATTGTCGGCGCAATATAATCGCTAATCCTTTACTAAATACTGCCTGGACGTAACAATAAACTTGTGCGTTCGTTTCAGACATCAACGAGTGCACGAACAACAACGGCGGCTGTTCATCTCTATGTCTGAACGAGCCTGGCTCGTTCTCCTGCTCGTGCCCACCTTCTGAATCTCTGGCCGACGACGGACGCACCTGCCGAGCTGACGACCCGTGCCTGGAAAACAACGGAGGTTGTCAACACACCTGCTCCCCGCGTCCTGACGGCCGTGGCGCACAGTGCAGCTGCCAGTCCGGGTACCGACTTAACGACGACGGCTTCACCTGTGGAGATGTGAATGAATGCGCTGAGGATGTCCATAAATGCGATCATCAATGTGAGAACACCCCCGGCGGGCACCAATGTGTCTGTTTTGACGGGTATCGTCTGGCGGACAACGGCCATACCTGCGAGGATCTGAACGAGTGTAGCGTAGCCAACGGAGGCTGCAGCGACATCTGCTCCAACGTTCCAGGAGGATCTGTGTGTGCGTGTCGGCCGGGTCGGGCCCTAACCGACCCCGACGGTCGACTGTGTGCTGATCTGGATGAGTGCCTGACGGATAACGGCGGCTGCTCGCACATCTGCCGTAACACGGACGGCTCGTTCCAGTGCGAGTGTCCGAGTGGTATGAGGCTAGACGATGATGGCCTCACCTGTCTAGACGTCGATGAGTGCGCCGAACGGCTCGATCACTGCTCTGACGAGTGTCGAAACACAGAAGGCAGCTACCAATGTCTCTGTCCCGAAGGATACCGGCTAGACGACGAAGACACCTGTCGTGATATAGACGAATGCGCCGAGGGTGGTGGTTGCTCTCACCTGTGTGTGAACACAGAGGGTTCGTTCCAGTGTGGCTGTCCGCCGGGACACAGTCTTGCTGCCGACCAGCGAACCTGCAGAGATCTGGATGAATGCCAGGCGGAACACGGGTGCTCTCACCGCTGCGTCAATACTCAAGGCAGCTACAGATGCTCGTGCCCTGCCGGTTTTGTGCTAGACGAGGACGAAGCCACATGTGTGGATCAGGATGAGTGCTCGGATGGTGGCTCAGGCTGCTCTCATCTTTGCAAGAACCTCCCAGGCTCCTTCGCCTGCGACTGTCCCGAAGGCATGCAGCTTCAAGAAGACTCCAAAACCTGTGTGGACGTCGATGAGTGTGCAGTTGATAATGGCGGCTGCAGTCACATCTGTATCAACCTGGAAGGATCGTCGGCATGTTCTTGTCCACCGGGATACGAGCTGGCAGAGCCAGACATGAAGCACTGCATGGACCGAGACGAGTGTGCGTACGCTGACGTGTGCCAGCACACATGCACAAACACAGATGGCAGCTACGTGTGCTCGTGTGATCCTGGATACCGCCTATCATCTGATGGCAGCTCTTGTGACGACATTGATGAGTGCAGTGAAGGACTGGCCGGCTGTTCAGAGCTGTGTGAGAACACTGACGGCGGATTCCGCTGCCTCTGTCCCGACGGGTTCGTACTGGAGCACGATAACCGCACCTGTTCTGACCTGGACGAATGTCTGGACGGCCGGGCCGGCTGTGAGCACGTCTGTGAGAACGTCGCCGGTGGGGCGATCTGCAGCTGCCGGGCCGGGTTCCGACTGGGAGAGGACGGCCGAGCCTGTCTGGACATCGACGAATGTGCTGACGGTGAGCGAGGAGGTTGCGATCACATCTGTGAGAACACAGACGGTAGCCACTTCTGCCGTTGCCGCGATGGCTTCCAACTAGCCGAAGACGGTGTCAGCTGTCTCGATGTGGATGAATGCGCAACTGGCAATGGCGGCTGCTCTGAAGAGTGCGTCAACGAACCGGGCGGTCACCGATGCCTGTGCCGGCCAGGATTCCGGCTGAAGTCCGACAACCGCACTTGCGCAGATCGTGATGAATGCTTCCAAGACGCTTACGGCTGCTCACACATCTGCATCAACCTAGAAGGAGGTGTATTGTGTTCGTGTCCCCCTGGAATGGAACTGGCGGCCGACAACCGCACATGCCAGGATCTGGATGAATGTGCTGACCGAAACGGCGGCTGTGAGCAGCTCTGTGTCAACATGGAGGGCAGCTTCCGTTGTACTTGCCGCACCGGGTTCCTTCTAGATCAGGATGGTCGCTCCTGTGACGACGTAAACGAATGCGATGCCAACAATGGTGGATGCGAGCATGATTGCGTCAACCTGGAGGGAAGTAGGAGTTGTGTGTGCCGACGAGGCTTCCAGCTAGCTGAAGACGGCAGTAGCTGCATTGACGAAGACGAGTGTGCGGCTCGAAACGGTGGTTGCTCACACGACTGTGAAAACGAGCCGGGAAGTCACCGTTGTTCTTGTCCGGACGGGATGCGACTGGCTGTGGACATGAAAACCTGCCAGGACATCGACGAGTGTGCCGACAACAACGGTCGCTGCTCGCATATCTGCCGTAACACAGCCAGTAGCTACGTGTGCAAGTGTCCTACCGGCTACAGACTTCAGGGCGATGGACTTACCTGCGAAGATCTGGACGAATGCGCGGAGAACATTCATGGATGCTCGCATCAATGCCTCAACACCGCCGGTGCTTTCGAGTGTCAGTGTCCCACTGGACTGGAGCTGGGCAAGGACAACCGGACCTGCACCGACTTTGACCAGTGTCTGGATATGAACGGTGGCTGCTCTCACATCTGTACCGACCTGCACGGTGGCTTGGTGTGCCGCTGTCCGGACGGCTGGGTGCTCGGTCGAGACCGACGCACCTGCCAAGACGTCGACGAATGTCGAGCACAGAACGGCGGCTGCGCTGAACTCTGTATCAACACGGAGGGCGGTCACCACTGCGGGTGTCCTCCGGGTCAGCTTCTGCAGCCAGATAACACCACTTGTCGTGCTGCCGCGCCTTGCGCCGACGACAACGGTGGCTGTGAACAGTTATGTACCGAAAACGCTGGCCTGGCCGTCTGCAGTTGTCAGTCAGGCTACGAGCTACAGCCGGACAAGCGTTCGTGCAGAGACGTCGACGAATGTGCGCGTCGCCGCGGTGGCTGCCATCACCTCTGCCGAAACAAACCTGGGTCGTTTGAGTGCACCTGTCGACCGGGATACACGCTGCAAGAGGATGGTGTCACGTGCGGCGCCATCGACTACTGCGCTGAGAGCAACGGCAACTGCTCCCACATCTGCCTGAGTATGATGGACCGTGCCCACTGTTTGTGCCCGCCGGGTCTGCTACTCGGCCGGGACCGACTGACCTGTCAGGATGTAGACGAATGTCGTGAAGCACCCGGTCTGATGTGTGCTCAGCTATGCGTCAACCTCCACGGCTCGTTCCGATGCGGCTGTCACGATGGCTTTCAACTAGCCGCAGACAACAAGTCCTGTACGGACATCAACGAGTGCCTCCAGGATAACGGAGGCTGCAGCCACGTCTGTATCAACCTGGCCGGCGGTCGCAGCTGCGTCTGTCGACCGGGCTACCGTCTCCTCTCCGACGGACGCACCTGCCACGCGCTGGACGCTTGTGCTGTCGATAACGGCGGCTGCTCGGATGTCTGTACCTCACAGGAAGGCCGCGCAGTGTGCTCCTGTAAGGCTGGCTTCCAGCTGGGGCGCGATCAACAAACCTGCGTGGATGTCGACGAGTGTCTGGAAAAGAACGGCGGTTGTGAGCAGATGTGTGACAACACTGCCGGCGGCCGCCTCTGCCGCTGCCGTGCCGGTTTCAGGCTGGACGAAGACGGAGTCAGCTGCCGCGATGTGGACGAGTGTGCCAACAATAACGGCGGCTGCCAGCACGAGTGTGTCAACGAGCCAGGGACGTTCCGCTGCCGCTGTCGTCCCGGCTACCGAACGCACTGGAGGTGAGAGGGATACCGAAGGGCTCTGACTGAAGATAAGGGACTACTGGAGGGGTTTCACTGTAAACGAAAGGAATGATTCGCCAATTCTAGAGGCCCTGTTTGGTTTAAATAGACAGGATACGAACGGAGTTAGACATTTCATTTGCTCAGTTTCCAGTTTCCAGTCCAATGCTCCCCTTAGATACCCGTATCAAATGTTATTAAGCTTTCGTCTCTCAGATAAACCTCTCAAATATATTTTCCCGTCGCCAGGGATCAGTCTCAGTGTCGAGACGTCAACGAGTGCGCCTACGAGAACGGTGGCTGCGCCGAGGACTGCTACAACACCGAGGGCAGCTACAAGTGTGTCTGCAGCGACCTCTACCGGCTGGCTGAGGACGGACGGTCGTGCATACGTGAGTATAGTGCACGGCTGTGAATTAGTGTTTGTCTTCTTACGTTCCACTAGGTCAGCCCGCAAAATATCGTTTCAATGTTTTACATAATCGGATGCTGACGGCCTAAGGCCTTCACGAGGAATCATGTGTATACCTGCTCGGGCTGCTAGAAAGTAGAAATCATCGGAGCTGAGCTGGCTCTCGATCAGGCAGTGTTTAGTCGCAGTGACCCGACCCGTGACCTGACCTGACGTCTGCTGTCCCAGCGGCCGATGACGGCTGGTGCCGGCCGCCCACGGCTCCGGCCCACAGTGACTTCATCTGCGACTCGCCGCTGGAGAGCGGGGTTCGATTCCCGGTGGGTACGCAGTGTCGGGTTCGCTGCCGGCGCGGTCGACACCTGGACGGAGACGGAGTGGTTACCTGCGACCGGGACGGACGGTGGCGCGGAGCAGCGGCCAAGTGCCGGCGACACCAGCCAGCTGGGACGCCGGACCGGACCGATCGCCGCCGGCCCAGCACAGGTGGGTGTGTTGCTGGACTGCCCTAGCGAGTGAGCTTATCGCGATATTTTATTCTTTCGACAACGAACTCATTATAATTTCATGAGAATGCAGGGAGAGATCTGCTGCGATTGTTGAAGCACTGCGTTCTAGCTGTTTCTACCCATGACATTAGTCCTCCAACCAAGGGAATATTCAACAATGAATCGCCATAACCTCTTCCTTTGTGTCATCTTACAGCGCTGGCTCCGTCGCCGTCTCCACCTCTTCCTCGCGGAGGGATGTGCTCGGCCATCGCCCCTCCTCCGCACGCCACGCTGCGGCCGCGCCGCTGTCTGAGGGCCGACACCCGGCCCGGCCGGCGCTGCTACATCGTCTGCCAGCCGGGGTTCCGTGTGCGCGGCCGGCGCCGCCTCACCTGCCAGCCGGATCTCAGCTGGACGTTCGAGGGACGCCACGAGCCGCGCTGTGTGCCGCGGACCGGCGCTCAGAGGCGGAGGAACGGACGCAGACGGGGTGAGATAGCGGTGGACGGGACGGGAACGGGATAAATAGCAGCGGATTGGACGTAATCGAAAGTAAATAATCGATTTTGTTTGTGCTTATTTGAAACGGTGTATTGATTATTGCGAGTGTGGCACTTTACGAATGCGAGATGTTTCTTACCTTACCAATTATCAGATGCGTTCGTTGCCATACCTCTAATGATGAATCTTAACCCGCGCCCGGCTGGGGTCCTGGATTTCCACGCCCTGCTGGGGGGGGGGGGGTTTGAACACCCCCTTCTAACTCGGCTCCTGGGCCACGTAACGATACGCGGAAGGCGGCGTTCGAAACAGCGTCAAAAATAATGAAGGAATCACTTCGGTCAATTTTTTGGTCAGGTCAAAGGTCAGGTCACCAGAGGTCATTGAATGCAAAATTTTGCCGATTTCCAGGTCGGATGTCAACAATTTCTTAGAATCTAGCGCATAACTCGGGAACCAATAGAGCTACAGCGCCGCGGAAAAGCGCATTCGATAGCCCTTTTAACGCCTTTTCTGAATAATTCTCTCAGATTTGACCTAACGTCAACGGTTTTGCCTGCAGGGGGCAAAAACTGCAAAAATAGCCGATTTTTTTCAGAAACAGTTTTTCTGCAATAACTTTTGATCCAAGCCTTGTACGAGCTTACTTTTACCGGCATCGTGTTCCTCTTGTCAAGACGCATCGGATGAACTATAACTTGACCTTGAAAGGTCAACTCGAAAATTTAACCTCAGGTCAAGGTCATGACCTGACTGGAAAGGGTCATGTTGCATATCAGTCGATCCGTATCGTCGAGCTGAACGCATCTAAGGCGTTTTTATCGCTCTAGCATGCCTTTATCAAAAGTTATTTGCGAAAAACTGTTAGATACCATTCGTGACCTAAGATGACCTCAGGGCATAAACAGGGGTCACGGACATCATTTTCATGTTCAGTGTGTCTAAACCACTTGTAATTCAGTGTTTGGGAGTGTATAATGTCTTTCGTCCAAAAGAGGCGCATTTCAATTTTCTCCCATTGACTTATAATGGAGAGGTCGCAAAATTGACCTGACCTTAGGTCATCGACATCAAAATTCTGAGATATACATTTTGTACATACTATTGCTCTTAGCAATCGCTGAAAGTTTCAAAGCGATCGGTCACTCGCTGTAGCTATGACAGACATTGAAACTTTTTATGAGGTGAAGTCACTTCAAGTGACCTGGTGACCTGACCTTGGATGACCTTGGTGTGAAATTTTCACAACATGTGTGGAATTGATGTATGATAAGGTGTACCAAAAACGGCGGCGCTCCGCGCCGCCGTTTTTGAGATATTCGCGAAAAACCACAAGGGGGGTGTTCAAACACCCCCCCCCCCCAGCAGGGCGCGGGTTAATTGAAGCGGATGCATTTCCCTCCCCTCCCTTGCCAACAAATGCGTACTAGAGTTGCTAACGCTGATCTAACCACCTCTTGTCCTCTGTGGCCCAGGAGGCTCGCTGTCTCGGAACCGGTCACGTAACACCGAGTCGTCGCCACGTCGACCGTCACCGGCGGCAGAAGACGGAACCAGACGAGTGGGGACGACTGTGGCTCCACGGCGCGACACCGCTACCAAAAGCAGCACCAGCTCCAGCAGTAGCAGCAGTGCGAACACCATTAACAGTATCATCAACAGAGGCAGCAGCAGCACCACTAGCAGTAGCAGTAGCAGCAGAGACAGAAGCAGAGGAAGAGATCGCAGCAGCAGCGGCAGAGGCCGTGGTAGCGGCAGCAGCAGCAGCAATAACAACAAAGACAGCGATCGCAGTAGCCGCAGAGGAAACAGCGATCGCAGCTCCGGCAGCAGCAGAGGTGATATCGATCGCAGTAGAAACAGCAACAGAGGCACCGATCGCAGCAATGGTAGGGACAGCAGCAGAGACAGTCGGCGTAGACCGGCCGCCGAGTCGGTAACTAGCCCGACCAGTGGCCGCAGAAGGCCCTCTGCCACCTCCAGTCGTCCGCCGTCCACCGGCGACCCCATCATCACCTGTCCGGACGACCAGCGCGTCGAACTGAAACCCGGGAGAAACTCCAGTCTGGTGCGCTTCCCTCGTCCCCGTAACAGTCTCCACACACGACTCTACGTGGATGGAGAGCCGGTGAGGGGCCAGGGACGGCGACTGCAGGCGCAGTTGCCGGCCGGACAGCATCGGATCACCTTTGTCACACACTCAGCGGTCACCAGCGCACCGGCCAAGTGCTCCTTCAACGTCCAGATCGTCGGTGAGTAGCCAGACCAACGACACCGGGGCTCGGTGCTGTTGACGAGCAGAGACTCGTGTCTCATGCTCATGGACACTTTGTCTGCTTACAGAAATTAGCTAAACGAAAATTCTTTTTAGTGCAGCTGATGGTGCATTTTCTTATATGCTGTTAGACTACAGGTTTGACCTAGTGAGCTCATGCGTCTGACTTATTTATTTGTTCAGCCTGTTTGTTCCGTATAACTCGTCTCTGTTCTTTTGCGGTCCATGTTCGTTCCATGTGTGTACAACCAGTCGAGAGAGGACGCTGCTGAGTCTCGTAACATCCCTGATCGCTTGCACCCCTCCCCAGACACGGAGCGTCCCCGTGTCCACGGCTGTCCCCGCTCGCTGAACGTGATGCTGGAGGAGGGAGAGCTGGACGCCCTAGTCACCTGGGAGGAGCCCGTCTTCACCGATAATGTCGGAGTGGTCAACACCTGGCAGTCACTGGTGAGGGTTCAGACTGCAGTCAAGGACAGTCTACAGTCACCCACAGTCTGCAGTCACGAGCCAGCAGTCTGACGCCACCGGGCAGTCTGAAGTCCTTTCAGTTTGTGGTCACGAGACCGTCTGACGTCACTAGTAATCTGATGTGCTCTCAATCTGAAGTCTACTCTGCAATTATCCACGCACTTTGTAAATATTCACTTTACTGGAGCTTCATTATACGCTTATTTGACCCTGATGAACTGTTGTCCTGTGAGATCTCCGTGACCTCCCTCTTATTTTTCACTGTGACCGTCCCTCCAGGCTCCATCTGACCTCCGTGACCTTTTTCAGCGGCCCAACGCCCGCCTGCCAGCCGGCAAACACCGCGCCTTCTACATAGCGCTGGACAAGGCGCGAAACAGAGCCAACTGCTCCTTCACGATTAACGTGACCCGTGAGTGGGGTGGGCGGTACCGGCCTGAGGGGGACCCGCCGAGTTATCACCCTGGGACCTCTGGGCTGAGTGGGATTCTATCCATGGCTAGGGGAGAATCAGTCTAAAACCGTACTGTAGTTAAAATCCATGGGGTCCAGATCCGGAAGACTATACCCGTGGGGACATATTCGTGGGATGGTAACGGTAAGGTCGGCTCTCTGGTACATTAGGTCCGATAGAAGTCAGAGGATAAGTCTGGAGTGTTCTGTCTTGCCTTGTTTTGTTCCCTTTGCTGGGAGCGTTTTGACTTATTTACATCTATCGCGTTTCCCTCCCTTTTTACACGAATCTGTTTTATTTTGTTCTTTCATAAGGCCATGCGTATACATAAATCATTCTTTTACATTCTGGGGTTAAAGATAACTACAGATAACATTGAATTGGATGCATGTTTCGGTATTTCTATTTTCCTTGCGTATATTAAACGGCTTAAGTTTTCTTCAGTTATTTTTAAGTTCGATTACTGGCTTTATTGTTTGATTGATAGGTACTGTGGATCATTTTAAGCCATGTTTAAACGTCGTGACGTGACGTACAATGAACCCTGAGTCCTGCTCGGTGGCGCGAGACCTTCCAGCAGCTGTTGGCGATGAGTCGTGAAATAATTTTCTTCCATTATAACGGAGACTGAGCCTCACTGGCTACGCACTGCCGATAAAGCTGAAAATGCTTTATTTCGATAGCAAATACCTATCAGAACGTGCTGAACAGACACAATTCATGTTGCGTAATTCCGTATACTCCTTGGTTTGTTTGTTTGTTTTGTTGGGTTAGGCCCTTTCGGTCGACAAGACCATTGCAGAGCCGGAAGGATGATAGGAATTAGGGGGAGACATTGGTCTGGGCAGGCACCCTAGTGAGTCGCCGGTGCTGAGCCCGTCCAGAGGACAGGCCACCCAGCCCCAAGGCACTCACTGCACCCGGCTACGGGGTGCGCTCCCTCAGGAGCAGCGGTGCCGCTCCAAGGGAGCAGCCCGCATGAGATAAAGTTGCCTATCCAGCCCGGAGGGGGGTTGCGGCTTGGAGGAAAAGGATTTCAGTATCCTGAGGATAGAAGCACGGATAGGTGATACTCCTTGGCGATGTCCAGCTGCTATACCGAGCAGGACTCAGGTCAATGCTAGTCCAGGAGCTCCCTGCGCGGCGACCGCACACTAGCGCCACCTCTGGTAGATCTCTCTAGTGCTGGCACCTACATTTCTGCCACGGGTTTCCTGGGACGCCGCTAACTGGCTCTATCACATCAGCTTGACAGTAGACAGACACATTAGACAGTTAGAGTAGTCACTACACGGGTACTGCCTGCCGGACCGGGTAGACGATTGGTGACGGCCTCAGGGTCTCAGAGCATGCCCCGGGAGTAGTTGGTGACCTGTCTGGTGACCTGTGACCGGTGACCCGTGACCCTTGACCCGTGTGTTTGCAGCGGTCCAACGGCGCTCTCGCTGGCTGCGGTTCATCCCACGCTTTGATTAGACTGGCTTGTTTGTGTTGTTATCCGACGGCGCGCCTGTCGGACCACGCTGGAAGCGATTGTGGCCCTCTGCTGCCCGTGCTGCCCCCCCCCCCCCGAGTCCTGCCCTCCGCGAGTCCCCTGAGGCCTTTGGGACAATCCAGAGGTGGTCGGCGACCCCTGTGTTGGGGCTTCGGTGTTGTTGCGTGTTGCTTTGTTGTGTGTCAGCTGGCTGCATTTATGTGTTTGTTGGTGTATTTGCGTGAAACATGGAAACACTCAGCTGTAAATGGTCTTTTTATGCAATTTATGGGCGCATTTTGTAAATAGCCTGCAGGGACTTCTGGCATATTTTAAGTCATAATATGCGTAATAACGTAAATATATACGTAAAAATGTAACACAGAGTTCAGAGTTGTGATATGCGCTCTAGCCGATGCATGCCGATATCGCAATGGCATAGTTTTCATTGATACAATATTGTTCAGAAAGAGAGCTTTACATGGCTTTCCGTGCTTGTAGAGCTGCACACAATCAGCATATCAAATCTAACCTAAAAGGCGAGCACAGGTGATAGCGTTAGGGTAATGGGCTCGAAATCGAGCGCTCCATTAGAAGACATTAGAAGCCAGGATTGTCGCCCTGGCTTCCAAGACGCCAGTCGGTGCTTTTGCCTTCGCTCTGGCATTGCCGAACACAGGGTATCTTCAAACTGGATACATAGTACGGTGCTGAGTTTTTCCCTGTTTCTTTCATGAACCCTACCGTGGCTTTTATTCTGTGTTACCCCTGCCTGCTGCCGTCCCAGTGCACCTGAGTGACCCTAAATATTGAATCCCTTTCGCCAATAGCCGAGCCTTGCTCTGATCCACCCGACAGCTAATGGCCATCATTCCTCTTCTTTGACTGCTCCACAATCCTAGAACCTTACACGTACTCCCTTCCCTAGAACCTAGCACACTCTGCCCCTGGACTTGACACCTCCGGGGCCTGACACCCTCTGCTCTGGAACCTCACACCTCCACTCCGGAGCCCCTCTCTGCGTGTTTCCCTGCCCGTGCCTCCCTCCCCGCCTGTCTCGCCGCTTCGGCCGGTGTCTGTGGGTGGGTGCCACTCTGCCTGCTTCTCTCTGTCTCCGCGGCTGGCTGTGGCTGTGGCTGTGGCTGAGCCGGTTTGGCTGCTGCTCTCTGCATGGCTCGGCGCAGGCGGCGACTGCTCGCCGCCGCCGCTGACCGGTGGCGACGTCATCTGTATGGCGTGGCTGGGCGGCCGCCTCTGCCAGCCGGCCTGCCGCACCGGGCGGCGCTTCTTTACACCGCCCGCCTCCGCCATTTTCATGTGCGGCTTCGGACGCGCCTGGTCGCCCAGAGACGAGTTCCCCGTCTGTGCACGTGAGTACGCAACAACTCGGGTGGGCTTGTCACCTCTGGCTTCCAGAGAAAGCAGTTAGGAGACGTCTTTGCTATGGAAACTTGATTTAAATTAAACGTAGAATAAATCCAGAGTGATCTATTGAGCTACTTTTGCAATGCTTACATGTAAAATAGCTGAATCAGCAGCTAATAAAATGCCTTTAGTCGAGACTTTTAGGGAGGATCCGGCTTGATCCCATCTAAGTAAGCCCAGTCCAATGTAATGGTTGGTTTACCATGGGCCCACATTTTGCCGGTTCTCATATGAATTCTTGAGCTGTTAAGTGTGGTGTTATTGATGCTGTGCCCGTATGATGTTTGTGATTATTTGATTGTTTCCTCAGCTCATGTTACCACAAAGACAGCTAGTTGTCTGCCCGGCTTCGAAATACGGCAAGGCTTTACAGATGTATGCGGTAAGTAACATCATTGCGGAGTGTTACACGTCAAATTAAGTTATATTTAGCTAGTTGTGATAATCCATCACTTTCATTTCAAATAGACTGTCTTACGATGCCATCCCCCCAAATTCAAGCTCTTACTGATTACCGACTGACTCACATACAGTCTTAAAGTGTTGACACCGAAATGTCGTTTCAGTGGGATGTCCCCCCGGGATGTACGGTGAAGGAGGCAGTCAGTCCTGCGTACACTGTCCAATCGCAACATACCAGGAGGAATTTGCTCAGTAAGTCATCTATCCTGACCGACATTTTCACTTTTTACCGCTGGAATTTAAATAACCTTCGCTTACCAGCAAAGGCTGGCTAGGGCTATGGCCTTGATGTGTGGTAAAGTATAAAAATCTGGGATCGTAATCCCATAGTGGTTTGTATTGGTATCCAGTCCTCGAACAGGCTACCGAATTATGGGAGTCATGTGATGTTTCTCGTCCCTGTCATAGCACGCACTGATGTAACCGCTCGTTGCCGCTGCGTCGTTTCCAGGGCAGCGTGCAAGCCGTGTCCACCGGGTCAGACCACGCTGGAGGGCGGCGCCGACTCGACGCTCCTCTGTCGCTCGGACGTCCCTCCCTTTGTACAAGGAGGCCTACTACCGGGATAAGGTGCTGGCCACGCTGCGGCGGGTCAACCGGCTGCCTCGGTCAGGCCGGAAAGCTTACCCAGCTCCCTGAGCTAGTGCTCGACGCTGGGCAGTCAGGCTATACACTCCTGAGAGGCCCCTAGTGGAGATTCCGGCGACCGGGAGATTCCGTGCAGGCGGCGCTGGATTGGAGCGAGCAGTGTACGATGGACTGATGCCAGTGTAGAGGCAGCTCTATGTGCCTTCAGTGTAACGAGCCGATGTCGCTCACGTCGCGATACTCACTGCCAGAACGCATTCAACTCACAGTGTTACTGAGTGCACTCCACCCGCCCTCCCATGTAGACTGGGTGGACTGGAAGTGGATACTGTGCACTGTGAAGCGTCGTCGACCCGCAGGTCACTGGGTCACTCCCTTGCACCTGTCGGTCTGTGGTCTTCCCGGGCCCTTTTTTGGCCCAGTGAGGTCAGTGCTGCGCGACTCGCAAAGATAAACGATGTTACACTTTTTCACCGTCAATATTTGCATGTGAGAATGACGGTGCGCGTTAGTATTGACAAGTCGTGGTGTCTGCGAGCTTGTCTCGTGGGTAGGAGGCGATGTCTGCGAGCTTGTCTCGTGGGTAGGAGCTATTCTCGCGAGCTTGTCTCGTGGGTAGGAGCGATGTCCGCGAGCTTGTCTCGTGGGTAGGAAGCGACTCCTGCGAGTATGTCTCGTGGGTACGGCACGATATTGTCGCACTGGCCATTCGCTCGTAACTCAACGAGACTGGCGCGAATCCCAGTGGCCGATGAATAGCCACAAGCCACGAGAGGTCGGCAGGGTCTTAGAAGTCGATTGGACAGATAGTGACCCTCAGAGGCCGCGCGAGACTGATACAGGCCCTCGAAATACTTGTAGCCTGCATAAGTGTCATTGTTGCAACAGGCCCTTGAGCGTCGCGTAGCAGTGCTAAGTGTCGATTATTGTGCTTTTACGTGTTCGCAATGTCAATAACATGTTCGTCCAATTTGGGCAGCTTTTAGGCGATATTAACTTTGATATTTTCTGTAACGGGCAATGTAAAGATTTTTAATACGTCATTCTTCTAATTGCCCTGATATTTGTGTGATGACTGGTGACAGTCTACATGTATAATATATATGTTCACTTATTATCGTCTTACTATGTGGCATTTGCAGAAATACATCAAAAGGACTTTTTAAACATTACATTTTTGTCTCTGCCTCTGAAATGACATCCGATGAAATGTGACATGAAATGAACACTGTTACAATATTAGCAAGTGTAACTTCTCAACTATTGAGACCTCTATGTGGTTTCACCTCTGTTTCAATTACATTAATTTGTCCAGCAATGCCAGTAATTATACCAGGGAAGCAAATATGGACAAAGGCGTAGGTATGTATTGAAGGAAATACAACGTCCGGCGATTCGTGAGCCACCACGCGCCGATCTGAGTGTACCAGTCACCGGACCGAGCCAGCTCGTGCCTCGCTCTCTCCGGTTGCGGCTGGCCCCTGCCGCGGGTCGAGCCCGGTGACAGGAGTGTGGCGACATGCTGCTGACCGCTGACCCGCGACCCGGCGCGGTACGACCGCCGCCGGCGGCGGCTCCGAGCAGCGCAGACACACGCTCAGCGGGCCCCATGGAGGCTGATAGTGTAGGGAAGCGGGGACCGCCGCTGGTCGGATGGGCCGCCCAGCTCCACTGTGTGCCGGGAGATGTGATTTTGCGACGAGCGGCTCGCAGACCGAGGAGAGCCCCCCGGCAGCAGAAGGTGTGCTGCCCGCGAGTGTACACCATCTCGGCAGATGGAGGATGGAGAGTGGCCCAGCGCCGTCACCGCGTCCCCGGCAGCCGTCCCAGCCCCGTCGGCAGGTCAGTCCAGCAGCTGTCTTCTCAATCCAGTACAGCCACTATTGTCAGCCTTATTCCCGAGATATTTTCAGCCCAGTCATGACTAGCTGCAACCCTCAGGCATTTCGGCAGGTCAGTTACGGCAGACGAGATATCTCCAATCCTGTCGGTCAGTCAGTCAAAGCAGCTGCGAGCCTCATCACCAGCGTGACCTTCAGCCGGTCCAATTTTGTTTGCTTGGTTTGCAGTGTTAGGTCCTTTCGCTCAACGAGACCATTTCAGAGCGGAGGGATGATAGAAATCAGGAAAGGCATTAGTCTGGGCGAGCACGCCATGGTGGCCCGACGAGGCTGAGGTCTCAGGGACAAGCCAACCGGCCCCGCTAATTTTCACCCCATCGCACGTGAGCCTACTCCAGAGGAGTTACTCTCGTCGGAGGTAGAGGACCGCCTACCCAGATTCAGGGAGCTTTCGGCGTCGAAGAGAAGGATTTGACTGTCCTGAGGACGGGAAAATAATATCGGAGCGGTGAGCCGGCCCGAACTGCACCCACAGTTTTTTTTTTTCAGTCACGGGTACGACCATCAGTCCTACTTCAAGTATACTTTCATTATCCTTATCGCGGCTGCATCCTCATGTTGATTCCAGCTGCACCTTCATTTCCATTGTAACTGTAGCGTCAGAGTCAGATCAGCCGCAGCTGATCATGGCTCAGGTGGCTCAGGTAACGCACTCAAAACTACAACACGTGCAGTGCGCACCTTTATGCCTTTTTTGCGTGCTCACGAACTTATTGTCATAATCGACCCCAGGTCAAGGTCAACACCCGAATGTAAGAGGCCATTCAAATTGAATTAGCGGGTCGGGAAAGCCACCAATGGATTCAAGAACGCCTGCCGAATCGAATGATATAATATGACCTCCTATAACCAGCTTCGTCACCTGAGAGGCCGTGTGCTACTGCTGACCTTGACCCGAGCTCAAGACCCTAAGTTGAGCTTAAAATTAACCATCGCCGACGCCGGCCGAGGAGGCCGCCCGCTGTTTTTGTGATAGCTCGGAACACGCTGGTGATAGAGAACTAAGAAACTTGGCATACCTGACCTTTGATTCAAACCAGATATTGTGACACCAACCGCATTTTCAGGTGACGGTCAGGTCATGTCACTGACCCACGATAAATACGACGTCATAAAAGAACCTCCACACGGTCTTCAGATGTCGCAACTTTGCAATGCTCATTGCTCTCGGTGCCAGATGAGCTATCACAGGGAGATGAAACTTAGGTACGGGACCTAGTATCCTCCAGAGGTCTCACAAATTATAATTATAGTCTATAGATATATCAGGTTTTTTCGTTATGTCACCTAAGGTCAAGAGCTATAAGCCGTTTTCACGACGGACTATCCGCGGCGAGTGCTTCTAATCTGACCGAATCTGCACCTAATCTCTTTTACATCAAATATCTTGATTTTATGATTTTATTTCAGTGTTTTGATCGATGATACTCTCTGATAATATGACAAAGCAGGCATATAAGCAATTAGTGCAACCCTAGCTGATAGCTACGAAGAGACACACTGAACCTAATTTGACCAAATCTGCACCTAATCTGCACCAGATGTGCACCAAATGTGTACCAGATAGGGTGAATAGGTCAAAAACGCCCCCATTAAGCGCGAAACCTTCTGACACTCAACCCAACCCAGATTACTCAAACCTTTGGGCACCATCATGTAGCTCATTCTTTTTACTACGCTTTGAGACCAAGAAAAGACACTTGCGTCTGGTATTTAACCCCCCAAAAAGGTTTCCGCATACCCTTACAAAAGGGCGTTTTGCCCCACACCCTGGGTAATACGCCCACACCCATGTGCAAAGCGCCCCCACCCCATCCATCAACAGAAAATGATGAACGTGGCAGAACTTGACGTCATTCTGACGTCATTTGTGGTCAACTATCATAGCCTTTGGAATAAAATGTTGTTACAATGTGTAAAATGGATGCCCGGAGGAGTCCTGAAAGTTTGGTGACGATATCTGCAGTCGTTTAGGATATATCAGCAAAAAAGGACAGGGAGAGGCCTTTTCTGCCCCGACCTACACGGCGCTACCCTGCACTCTCACCACCGTGCAAAACGCCCCCCTTTCAGAAAACTGGGGGCGTCTTGCCCAAGGCTATATAAACCAGGTAGAACGCTCCCGACGAAAAAGTGGTGACAAGCGATAATTAGTAGCCGCGACCCTCTTTTGTTCAAAACTATATCCGCAAGCAGCATTTACAGGCTAGCGGAAATCGACCAATCGGCGTTCGGCAATACTCAACGCTGATTGGCCCGATGCTCGTGACGAAATTGCGGGGGACTGCAGCTATTCCCCTATGGCGTTTAATAGACTTACGGCTTTTGAAGGGGATTTGTACCAGTTTTTGTTGGGTTTGAGGCCATTTTTGAGCTTGGATATTCTTTCTGTGACTTTTGACTGTGTAATAACGACATTTAATCATAACATTTCTATATACTACCGGTGTCACATCGACCAAAAAGACCGTAAGTACATGGGATAGACGGACCACTGCTGATGGGGCCACACATGCCGGCGTGTGGTCATCGGAGGCCCATGAGGGCTCGACATAGGCCCTTCATGGGTCGGTATAGGCCCGGTGGGTCCAGTGCAAGCCTATCAGGGGCCGGTGCTGACCCAACAGGGCCCAGTGACATATAATGTAAGGCCGTCTAGGGACGTTGAGGGCTCATGGGGGCCATATAGGACCAATAGGGACCACATAAGCCAATCAGGGGCCATTTAGGCCAATAAAGGCACTTCAAGGGACTTGAAAAGGTCATTCAAGAGCTGTGGTGGGCCCATGAGAGGACGGCACCGGTCCAGCAGGTGCAGTCAGGGGATGTTGTACGGGTTTCTCAGTGGCCCATTTGGGCATATCAGTGACCAATTTAGACCCAGCAGTGGGCTTTGTAGACCTATCAGGGGCTGGTGATGGTTCATCAGGGGCCAGCGTTAGTCCATCGGGGCACGGCATATGCCCATCAGAGGTAATTGCGAGCCCACGCTGAACAATGCTGGCCCTTCAACGGCCCCATGGATCTACATTGACCCATGGGCCATGATGTGTCATGTATGCCCCTATGACAGGCCTACTCAGACCCCTGATGGACGTTCCCGGCCTCTGATGACCCTATGCTGAATGCTGATGGGGCTCTAAGAGTCTCCAATAACCCTTCGTCACCCCATTATTACCATACGCTGGCATTAGGGACCCCACATCAGCCGCAGGGCAGTCCGTACTAGAGATGTCAATCGGATACCAACTTTTTAGTATACCGATACCAAACCGATACCAACTTGGTATTTGGTATTTCAATCGTAATGTGTTTGGTATTTTGTTGGTATCGTGAACCCTCACTAATGTATAAGAGACTAAGAAATCGGTAAAAAGTTGGTTTTGCCTCGTTTTCCCAAGTTGGTTTGGTTTCGGTATTTCCCCACGGTTTTGGTTGGTATTTGGTTTGGTATCGGTATTCCGATTTTCCGTAATTGACACCACTAGTCCGTACCATGACAGCATGTCTTTTCGGCCGATATTTCATCGGTAATATTTATCAAAATCATGATTTTATGGTGCCATTATATAGGTAACAGTCATATGAAATATATTTCAACTCGAAAACAGCTCGAAACAGCATATAATTTTAAAGAAACCCCTCCGAAATCCAAAAGCCTATTCGGGTCCATAGAGAATAACTGCGGTCCCCCGCAATTTCGTCACGAGCGTCGGACCAATCAGCGTCGAGTACCGCCGAGCGCTGATTGGTGAATTTTCCGCTAGCGTGTAAGTACTGCTCACGGAACAAGAGTTCGTCGACAATCCTCCACAAACGTCTGTCACCATTTTTCATAATGCTTAACAGCCGGAGCGTACCCCCCTGGTCTTGCCCCATGCATCGAGTAGGCGTCTTTCCCCATCCACTCCGTTTCTGGTCAACAAAATATTGACAAAAAACGCGCCACTATCGCCGCAGCATAATAAATTCAAAAGAATGACAATAAAACGCAGTTTTGAGTGATGTGCACAATAGCAAGTTTTGTGATATAAAGAGGGCATCAAAAGCTTAGGAATCTTCTGTAAAAACAACAAAAACAGCACCCAAAACCAACATCAGCACCTACCCACGCTGCTCCTCAAGACGCAGAACCGGAAATAGAGAACTACGTAAACAAGCAGCTGACTGTTCTGAAAGGCAGGATAAAACACCTATCCGTCGATAAGATCTACGATTTTTTTAGGGGAGGCGTTTAACCCAGGGGTGCGTTTTCCCCACAGTTACCCTAGCCGTCGTGAAAACGGCCATAGCGAATCGAAAAAGCCACTGGTGAACTGGGCAAGACATGCCGAATCGAACGATAGGTGGGTATGCGATATGACTTCTTTCAACGAACTTCGTGGCCTGAGTGGCTCTGACGTCTGCCTGACCTTGACCCGAGGTCAGCGCACCTTAAGTTGACCTCACCGAAACAAAAAGCATACCATTCGACGTGTCTGAGCCAGGAAAACACGATGGCATGCCAAGTTTGCCGCTCTGCGACCATTTTTGGCAAAGTTAGTTACCAAAAACCGAACCTGTGCCATGAGGCACTTGACCTGACCTCAGAGGTCACTGGTTGACCTGAGACCTTAACCCTCGCCCGTAAACGGCGATCTGCCACCTTCGCCCATGCAGGGGGGGGGGGGTTGGTGCGACCCCCCCCCCCTTGGCGTTTGAAAACGGAGCGTCGTAGAGCTTAGCGGAAAAGACCAACGGATTGCTCTCAACGAGATCTCGCGATTGGTTGTATATTTTTTGGTCCTAGGTCAACATTTGACCTACTTTTGACCGGTCAAAGGTCAAATTTTTCGGAAAAATAGACTTTTTCAACTTTCCGCGGCGATTGCGGCAAAACGGTAGGAGATATCGACTTGAAACCTTCACTATCGTGTTCCTTGATCAATTCTCTATCGTTTGGTATGTATTTCGTTTCCCTAGCTCTAAAAATGGCGCGTTGGGAGCGCCGGAAGTCGGCAAGGTCACAGTCGGCGGCAGAAATTCGAAAAATCAAAATTTAAATTTTTGAAATCTGATTGTATTTTTGGATTTGGGAGGTCCATTTGCTCCCTATAGAAGCTAATATTGCTGCATATTCCCATCGAGGTGACAAGAATTAGCAAAATAGTGGTTCGGGCGCTTTTCAAAAATAGTACCGGACGCTGTTCCTCTTGTGACGTCATAGCTCCGTGACCTGACCTGACCCGGTCAAGTTTCTTATACCATATGATAGCCAATACTTGCCCCAACATGCATGGGAAGTTTCATCACGATCCATCAACCGATGTCCGTACCACCGGCAGGAAACCTCGGGTGTTGGCACTCAGTTTGTGAAAATCCGGCCGGAGGCTGTTCCCTTTGTGACGTCATAACTCCGTGACCTGACATGACCCGGTCAAATTTTTTTTTATCAAAAGATGCGCAAGGTTTGCCCCATAAGGTACCCAAAATTTGGTGGCGCTGCGCGCCGCCGTTTTTGCACTATTTTCGAAAAACCTCAGGGGGGGTTGCACCAACCCCCCCCCCTACATGGGCGAGGGTTAAAATCGGTAGAAAATCTGCGTTCCATAATGACACACACGCTGGCTATTTTGCGAGGCTCTAGCTCAATAAGGGGCGAAACAGCTAAGGGGTCCATCCGGCGGCCGGCTTCCAACCTTCGGCCTTCTGCCGCGGCGAGGAGACGGTTGACATTATTGCAGCGCAGTTGGAAAGAGATGAACACCCAAAAATCAGCTTGGACGGCTGCCTGCCCTCTCATTGTGGCTAGTACTGGCAGTGTGTTCAGCTTCGTGGTGGATGGCGTAGTTTCCTTGGGTATTTCAATTATGTTCCTTTTAGACTCCAAGCATCTGCAACCGGGGGCATCTGATCCACACTGCGCCTAAAACGACACCTAAGATATAATCTCGGCATTGAGATTCGCTGGACGCTGATCGACTATCATGTAGGATACCAGAAGGTAGCTGTCCCACAGTCTTCAAATAGGATAGGTGAGCCTTCTTATACCAATATCACTTCGCGGAAACTTCAAACGGTTATTAATTGTACGAATAAGCACGTCCCCGACCAGGCGCCTGTATCTGCATTCTGCGGTCATTCCCGTCACATTTCGCCGCTGGCATATTCGGGTTAGTCTGCTACCGTGCGTTGGAACACGTGTAACCGTTGTCGCCGTGTGCCGGTCTCTCTGGGGTCACCGTCGGACTGAGATGGGGCCGGCCACCCTCTGTCACGTGCGCCCGTCAGCTGATGAGAGTCTGCCGGCGCCGCCGACGGCGGAGGGAGGGCAGCGGCAGCAGCGGCGGCGCGGCGGCGGCAGTTGGGACCGGCGCCCTGACCCGTCAGCACGCGCTATGGAGCCGTCGCGGCCGGACGAGGTGGCGCGCCTGACGCCAGCCAGCGCGGCGCCGTCGCCCCTGGTCGGCATCCAACACCCGGGCCGCAGGAAGACCTCGCTGCCGGCGCTGTTCCTACACAGGAAGCTGAGCCACACGCCGACAGCGGCGGCGGGCGAGAGCGCGGCCGCGCCGTCTGCGCACCATCACGCAAACGGCAGTGTCGGAGAGGCGCTCAAGAGGATCAAGAAGGTCGTGTTTGCGTGAGTAGAGCCAGCCTATTGAGGCAAGGGATGGGACACGGGCGTCGGACAGACCATAAATCTGTGCTGTTCCCAAACGGACAAAAACCAGGGACAACATTCAGAGAGGGAGGGAGACCGAGATGGGAGGGGAGATTCCACGACTTTACACTGACACGGTCCTACAGGCTCACCTTCCGACCTTTGGACTCCCGACCCCTGTATGTTTGTTAGTCGGCTGTAGCATCACTCCAAAGGCGATGGACGAAACGTATCGGTAACTTGTCGCACCTTGATGTGGTAGTCACATGTTCGAGTACTTGTATACCTATCTCGGTTCAAGTGGGTGACGTTTTTGCGTGTTGAGTTGACCTATCTTCATCTGACTCCCTCAAGGATAGCACAAAATGACACGGTAATTAATATGTGTATCGTCATTGCTTGTACTCGTGATTTGCGAGCCTGCTTAATGCGTGAATGCCTGCTTAATTTTGGCTTCTAGAATTAAATAATCAATTTGGGACTTGCAAGCATAGTAAGAAAAAAAGTAGGGTTTTGCACCCCCTCTCAATCAACAATAAATAAAACTGAAATTGAATTATCAAACTTCTTCATTGAAAATAGTTTGTTATTTCTGGAGCGCAGGTATGTTATAATGATCCGAATCATTTCGTATTAATTTAATATTCTATTTGTTTAGCGGTCCATTTATGCAGTCGCTCACGTTGCCCGGTTGCCGTTTGTTTCGGGCCGCCGGCCGTGCAGGAAGCCGGGCGGAGCGGCTGTTTTGGTCGGTGCCGCCGGTTCGTCCTTGATAGGGCGATGTGTGGAGCGACTCCTATGCTAAGTGGGTGTCAGTGCTGTCGCCCCGGGCGTGTTGTGTGTTTGTGGGAGCGGCTGGCGGCAGCCAGAGTCAGCCCTGCGATAACGTAACGTGTGTGTCACGACATACTACCTGGGACACGGACGGGAGCGGTCAGAGGTATTCACAGAGCCATTCGGAGACATTCAGAGAGACTCGCGGACTATCAGACAGGCTGTCACAGACAGACCATCACAGACAGAGACTGTCACAGACAGACCATCACAGACAGAGACTGTCACAGACAGACCATCACAGACAGAGACTGTCACAGACAGACCACACAGACAGAGACTGTCACAGACGGAGGCTGTCACAGACAGACCATCACAGACAGAGACTGTCACAGACGATACAGACAGGCTATCGCGGACTATGACAGACAGAGACTGTCACAAATGATCACAGACAGATACTGTCTGTGAGAAAAACTGTCACATCCATCCACAAAGACGATCACTCTACAGTCTGTGGACTGTGGATGTGAGACTGTAATAGGGCATCCACATTCTACAGACTGTAATAGGACATCCACATTCCACAGACTGTAATAGGACATCCACAGATACTGCAATAGACATCTTTTTCCGGGATGCAAAAACGTAAAACATTACCGCAATTTGGCTGGTGGACGTTCACGGAAGAAGGAGACTGTGAAAGGCTTGTCACAGGATCCAGAGACTATCTGTCTGTCACAATATGACATACGAGTAGAGTATCCGTTCGCAGTTTAAGTCTCCATTGACCCTCGTCTATAATATGTAAGGAAGTTTCTTAGTTAGTGCGAAGTGGCACCGTAACGGTTTATCAGCCATGAGCCATCTCACTCGGGTGTGAGAAATGCTTTAGTTAATAGCAGTGGTTAATAGTAATTAATAAAACCACTAAAATTGATGGTGGGAATCCCCCTGAAAATAACATGAATAGCTGCCCATAAAGAAACTCAGGCAAGGGACGTAGGCGCGCGATGAGCGCACGACTCAAATTAGCGGGCGTTAATACAGGATTAACTATAATATAGCTAGCTATAGCTCTATAACGAGCTAGCTATAGCTATAGCTCGTTACTTTTCTCCTGAAACTGTCATCGAGCATATTTCACTTGTGCAATGCGCATTGATTTTAAATATGATGATAAATGATTCATGGAGGTGCAGAGTTACCACCTCTGTCTAGTTGACAGCACCTGCGCGATCGAATTCCAACAGAACCAGGGATGGACCTAATTTAATTCCGAAAATTCGGAATTGAAACGGCAGCTCACGTACCAGTAGGTCGGTAGCCACCATGAATATTTTATGTATCTTTTGTCAGAGTAGCGTGCAATACAGGAAAGGTAATTTACCTATAAACATACCCTATACAGTTATACACTTATACAGTATGCCTACATACCTACAGGTACCTATGCATGCACGATTAAATCGCGCAAAGGGAACAGTTCATTTGTGCGCAGATCTGCTGAACACGTAGATCGATATGAGTCGCAGCACTGCCATAGCTCGCCTGTGCGTTGTCGCGGCACGGTGTTAAACAACAGAGCTGCACTGCAAACGTATCACAATCCTTATGTATGGGGTGGTTGTTGCTAGTTGTGCGTTCTGCGACAGCGGGCCAGCGTGGAGTTACACAATATGCAGTCGGCACGAGCACAGAGCAGGGGCACACGCCACACCGCCACACGACCCGGTAGGTAGGTACACACGGTCACAAATCTGGGCGGTTAGGTGGCGCAGGAGAGCCACAAACCACTGCACTAGCACCGGAATGACGTTAAAGGGGCCCAGGCCAGGGCGCGGTCTGCTTTCTTTGAGGCTTCTATGAAAAATTCTCGCAAGCAGACTTGGAAGGACATTAGGAAGTTTCTCGTTGCCTCGGGGAAGAGGGGCGGAGCTGGCAGTAGTGGTGCGCCGGTCACGGACCGCACACGGGAATGGGCAGAGAAGCTCAATCGGCACTTTTCGTCGGTTGGCCCCAGTATCGCTGCGTCCCTGAGTACAGTGGCGGCTGCCGGGCCACAGCTGTCACCCCGGCCGCCCCGTGTCTGCAGCGGCGCATTCAGGGTGAGACCGGCCACTCTGCCGGAGCTCTCCAGTGCGCTAGAGCGGATGAACTGCTCCAAGGCAAGCGGACCGGACGGCATCACGGTCAGCATGCTCAAGCTGACGTTTCCGGTCGTCGGCCCTCACCTGCTGCACGTAATTAACCGCTCTATCGTGAGCGGTGTGGTGCCGGCGGAGTGGAAGGTGGCCACAGTGACGCCGCTGTTTAAATCGGGTGACATTTTAGACGAGAACAACTACCGGCCTGTGTCAATTTTACCTACCGTGTCGAAGCTAGCCGAACGTGTCATATGTGATCAGCTGATGTGGTATCTTACGAGCTGTGACATTATCTGCCCCGAGCAGCATGGTTTCCGGCCGGCCCACTCCACGGAGTCGGCCATGCTTGACGCTGTCAGTTACATTTCTTCTCAAGTTGACAGGGGGCAGGTAGTCTCTCTTATAGCTGCTGACACCTCTAAAGCTTTTGACAGCGTTGAGCATGGCCGGCTCGTGGAGAAGCTGGGCTGGTATGGTATTGACCCCTGGTGGTTTGCCGACTGGCTCAGTGACCGCAAACAGACGGTCAGGGGCGGCTCGGAGTCCCTCCCGGTTTCCCACGGTGTGGTACAGGGTAGTATTCTTGGACCGATACTTTTTACAGTTTTTACCAACGACCTTCCGTCTCACGTACCGTGCGGCAGACTGATTATGTACGCGGACGACACACAATTCATTAATACCTGTGGACAGACCAGTATCGGAGAACACGCAGCCGACCTAGAGGTCATGCTCGGGGTGGTCCAGGCATGGTACAATCAAAACAGCCTGAGGATAAACCCGTCAAAAACAGAACTGATCATGTTCGGAAAAAATCACGGAGCCGATTTTTCTATCCAGTTTGCCGGTGCAGTAGTTCAGCCATGTGAGAAGGTGAAGGTGCTGGGAGTGGTGCTTGACTCGCGCCTACAGTGGGTGGACCACGTGTCTTTAGTGGTGCGCCGGTGCTACAGCACCTTATCAGGTCTCTCAAAATTCTCCCATCGGCTGCCGAGTTCGGTCAAAAAACTAGTCGTCGAGTCCCTGGTGTTCCCACACATTTTGTACTGCGCTACTGTTTGGGGCGAGTGTAATAAAACCCAAAGACATAGGGTTCAGAAAATTCTAAACCATGCCGCGCAGATCGTGTCGGGATGTTCACGTCGGACGCACGTTACGCCACTTCTAGCCCAACTGGACTGGCAGAGCGTGGACTCCCTCATACGCGAGAGAGATATCATTACCGTCCACAAGCTGACACACTCGCATCTGGCTCCTGTCAGACTGAAACAGCTGCTAACACGGCGCAGTGAGGTGTCAAGCCGCAGTACCCGGGCTACGGAGGCGGGTCACCTGGAGCTGCCCCAGGTGCGCTCTGAGCAGGCCCGGCGGCACTTTTGTTTCCGGGCCGCTATGAGCTGGAACGATGCCCCTGATGCTGTCAGGGAGCCAGTAACTGTCGCCACGTGTCGTGCGAGACTGCGATCAAAGTGAGCTTCTGCACTGTGATGACTGCATTTTAACTCTGTATCAACTTTGTGTATTAATCTGTAGAACGCGTCGCGAGGTACAGTGTTTTATAGTTAGGCTGTGATTCTTGTGCGGTGACAATAATATGTAGGTATGTAGAAACCATGTGATCATAATTTGTATGTAGGTACCAATACCATACATGATGCTTCAATGTATATTGACGCAAGCTTTAAAACCCACCATGTGGAGGCTTAAGATCGTAAATAAATAAATAAATAAATAATATTAAATGTTGGGTTTATTTTAAGCCATCGGAGTCATTGGCTGTTGACTTTCTCGGAATTTACCCGTTTTCTATTCAATCTACGAAAAAAGAGAGAAGAAAGAGGAGAGAGAGAGAGAGAGAGAGAGAGAGAGAGAGAGAGAGAGAGAGAGAGAGAGAGGAGAGAGGAGAGAGAGAGAGAGGAGAGAGAAGATGCGTTAGACAGAGCTCCCAGTCAAACAGACGAACGGACAATTGACAAATAATGCTAAGTTCTCCCTCCTAGTAGATCTGTTAGCCGTTTTCACGACGGGCTATTCGGCGAGTGCACCTAATTTGACCAAATATGCACCTAATCGTTTTTACAGCAAATATCTTTATTTTATGAATTCATTTCCGTGTTTTAATCGATGACACTCTCTGATAATATGACAAAGAAGGCATATAAGCAATTAGTGCAACCCTAGCTGATCGCTACTAAGAGACACACTGAACCTAATCTGACCAAATTTGCACCTAATCTGCACCAGATGTGCACCAAATGTGTACCAGATGACCGTCGTGAAAACGGTTATTATCAAAATATTTTCAGACTATTTCAGACATACAATGCCCGGAACGGGCTGTTGCCTGTTACTCCAGTCCTTGGTGATCATGTCGACTGAATAATCCTTCTTCCAAATGGTCTTCGGGATCCTGATAGCGGAATATATCTACATTTAGCCAAGTCATCCCCGATCGTTTGGGTGGCAACATGAATAGAGTCCTTCTCCTCAGTCCTGTATGATAATTTTAAAAATTGTTAACAATAAAGTTCCTGACCGCTACCGCCTACCACACGTAGAGATAAGATTGAGATTTAAAATTGTTAACTTTAAAATTGTTAAATTTAAATCTCTACCACGTAGACTGCAGAGATTTAAAAATTGTTAACAAGAAAGTTCCTGACCAGTGACCACTACCACGCAGAGATATATAGGACTACGTAGTACCTACGTATTCAAGTGGGTTTCAACTTAATTTTAAAAACACTATGCTGTATATAAAATGGCTCTGTTTAGGCTTGTTCTAATTAACGGTGATTAATGGCTGACTTTTTATGTTTCTCTCCCCTACAAAACATATCCCGACTTTCACCATGAGAGCTTTAGTTCGAGTTGCACAATAACATGCATGGCTAGCACAAGGGATGGGCTTCCCATGCGTACATCCCTGTCAGAATTCCATTACATTCCTGCGCCCAAGGTGTGAAATTCTCCGAATGGGAGACGTTGTTCGCGGACCCCGCGGACGGTGTCAGTCCGTGTGTGTCTCTATAAATGTACACATACATCTCTGATAGCGTGCACTGTGCACTGTACAGCGACCGCAACACGCGTCGTGTCCGGCTAGGGCCGACAGGGACCGATTCTGACCGCACGGGGGGGGGGACACGTGCTCCGCGCCGGTCATACGATGGGGGGGGGGGAGGCACAGACCAACCTGGGAGGATGCGGTCACTGAGCTGCTTCTCAGCGACTTTGCGTGTTCGACGAAATGCGAGCATTTCTTCAAATTTTGTTTTCCGAGCCATCATTTTGATAAGAGACGTCTATATCGTGAACGAGGGAAAGGATTGACATTGAAACTATAGAAATGACAGACATTTGTAAAATATAAAGCAAAATGAGAGAGGGAACATTAAATGCACTTAAAATCATCCGGAACAATACAATTTTCAATTTTGTTCGTGACAGCACGCTAAATCTCTTGAAACTATTTACGATTTTGGTCAAGAAGTGCAGGGAAAGCTGCATGAACCAATGCAAATGACCACGCTTCCATAGGCACTCGTGATGCAGATTACCAAATTTAAATCGTACAATTTTTTTAACTGTTCTCTACAAGCTTAAATTCATAATGGATTAGATTTATGCAATCAGTTATTCCTAATTTTCAATTTCATATAGTATCGAACTATTACCTACTGAACTAGCCTACCCACTTGTATGCTGATCCGGATCACGGGTACCCATGGAAACCGCGGGCTAATCCTTCCATGTCCCCCTTGTTCCATGCCCATGTGAGACGTGAAAATGAAAATGTAAAAGGAGTGGCAGTGGTTGTTTATTCCTGACTTTTGATGGCAATGTAACGTATAATTTTACCACTGAACCCGGAGAGTTTGGTGTTGACCTGACCCACCGTGCCATGCGCGGCGACCCGCCGGCGGCCGCGCCCCTTCGGTCGCGCCCTAGCCCAACACCATCGGTTCACAGGCGGCCCGATCTCCACACGTCACCGTCCCGGACGATTGAAATGGCGTCTCAGTCGATATCGCTGCACCCTGCATATGTTTTGCATGTTTTGTCGTCGATTTTATGGCGGCCAGCGGGAGGCTATCAGAAAGCGTGACCGACCTCAGTTCTCCTGTCCGGCACCAGGCTGGCGACCACGCCAGATGCCTGCTGGGGTGACGTATGCATGCACGTGCATGCCTGCGACAGCGTGCATATGGATGCGTCGTCGCCCAGTTGTTGCCATGGGTGTCGCCCGATAAAGCAATAGATGCAGAACAGCCATTAACTCGCACTATTTTACACTATTTACACCAGTGGCCGCACCTTACTTTTAGACAGGTGAGGTTCTCATTAGAATCTGGCAAACAATCAGTTCGATTTAATAAGACGCAAATTGTATTCGGAGTTTGCTTGTTGAATGCTAAGCGCGCGACCAGCGAGCTCAGGCCACGAACTGCTGGTCACATGCAGGTCATGTTCCTTTATCTGACCCGTGCCCCCGTGTGTCACCACTTGGATGACCGGACCTGCTCACTTGCTCAGAGCTCATATGCTTATGCGAAACGATGAAAGCTACATTTCGATTAACATATCACATGTCATTTTTACCTTTTCACTAATAAATTGGATGGTTGAAAGTAGCATGACTATTTCAGGAGATTGTGGTATTGCTCTTTTGTAAGTTATGCCAACGAACGTTTAAAATGTCACCTGCTAGCACCTTATTTATTTGAGAGACGTCCCTAAATAATTTGTAATGAAAAACCAAAAGTCAGTAACATTTTCTTGCAGTCTAGAATGTGAGGACAAGATGATAGGTAAAGGTATATCGACGGTGACACTGAACTGAAACCACTTGACATACAAGGGAGCAATCCAGCTTGAACTGGAACAATTCAGCAGACATAGACTGATAATCGCAGCATTATGCAGCTCATGTCATTGTTCGACGAAAAAAAGCAGCGCATGCCCTTCATGTAAGCGTGTTGTCTGTCAGTCTAAACACATGGTGCGATAACCGCAAATGGCACTAGATGCTTGTGACATTGGCGCAATGGAAGGACGACACCCCCGGTGACGGGGATGGTGATGCTTGAAGGGCCGGGGTGGGGTGGGGGTCAGCTGCCAAAACAGGAGGGGACAAGAGAGCCAGTCGACGTCTTAATCTTCGGATGCGCACAAGTGCAACGAAGACTGTAAAGTGCTTGGGTGTTACGGTCTTTTCGTAGGAAGATCATTGAAATATAGCAGTATATTTCGTTTACTTGTGAAAAATGAGGTGCAAAACCAAGGGACTGCTTCCTAGACGTCCTACTGGATGTGTATCTCCGTGCTAGCCGCTGGGTCAGTTGGACCTCTCTGCCTCACATCTTCTAGCTTGAGCCTGCACCATGCCATCTGGCGTCCACCAGCTCCGGGAGAGGGCCGCCACCCCAGACCAATTAACGGTAACTCCGGGAACCAATTGCCACTTCATGACCGGTCAGAGACTTGCTGATCGGCGTGCAGTTGCACCGTTTATACCGACCGACACCGGTCTGGGCTGGTCATCATTACCTGCTGCCTGCGGGCCCGGCTGGGCCTGCCCCGGCCGGTGGCTGAACCACTGCAGTTCGGAGGGTTGAACGGTCAGCCCTGCAGGTGTGTGCCAGTCGCTCGCGCTAGTCTGACGGCGCCACGGCGGCGGCGCCGAGCTGACTCCGTCTGTTACACCGCCGGACCGCGGAAGGCGGCAGGTCGTGACGATTGCTCTGCAGACATCAGAGAGGACAAGACTTCGGCTCTATATATGGCACCACTGACGGCTGACCAGGCAGTCGGTATCGGCCAGTCCGAGGCACGCGGCCTTCCGAACCGACCCCAAGCAGCTGCGCTAGACCAGCGATCGAATACTAAAGCCAAGCAGTTGCACTAGAAGACGTCTGACCGACTTTTGTATACTGACCGGCCGGTCAACCGACAGACCGACCGATCGAGAGAGTGATTGAAGGCACTGTGCAGGCCTCGGAGCAATATGCTTCTGTTCAAAACGGCCTCGCAAAATTGGAAACTGCTAGCTGAAGTCGACCTTGTTCACAAGCGGGCAGCGGCTTTCGTATGACCTTTAATCCGTGTCGCAAACAAGATTAGGGACTATAACGATGTAGTCATATTTTTCTGCTTTTTTATTCCACCGTTTTAATTCTTTCAAACGATGCTCGGCCGTTCTCTTCACATAAATTTACTCAAAGGTCAGTGGATGCGTTCATTAGACTTTCATCATACACATTTAAAGGTGAAAGAACCTTCACCCAGTCCCTGTACTCCAGTAATACCCTCTCCCAGTGTGCCAGGCTTCTGCGATGCCTACATTGGCTTCGGTTCGTCTCTTCCTATGCACATGCATGTACCTGATATCGTGCATATCTTGTAAAGGGGATTCTCTTGAACAATGAATATTAAACTCCTTGTAGCCATGCCCCATTATACAGAACATTGAGATCAATCGGGTATGTTGAAAGTGAAATAACATACAGGAAAATAACTTAAGAGAATAAATTAAAAAAGTGAATATCAAATATGAAATCAGCATGTAATAATCAATATTCGTGGCTTTGTTGTTCATTTGTCGGCGTTTTCAAGAACTTACCAAACCATGTCTGATAGTGTGAACTGTTAAGTGTATGTAGGGTATCGGTACCTTCTATAATTTGGCAGTGGAACAAATAACGTCCGACTTTTTTAGTGCGATGAAACGCGCTTGAAAAGCGCTCACGACCGCGATTGCCCTTGCGATTCACGCTTTGACAGTGATTTTGACAACCGGACCCCTTGTCTCCCTCAGGTCCATCAGTCACGTGCACCATGAGAGCGAGCCGTGCCCGGTGCCGACGATCCTGCCCCCCGACTCGCCGTCGCCGGTGCGACCGGCGCCCGTCGGTGACGGCGATCGGACGTCGCCGCCGACGACGGCCGCCGCCACCGACACCTCCGTCCTGCTGCGGTCCAGCCCCGGCAGGGACCGCGACCGGGACCGCGAGCGGCACAACACCGAACGGAGCGTCGATAGGTCCGTCGACAGGTCAGTGAATGGGTCAGGAAAGTGAACAGGTGACAGGTTAGGAAAGGTTAGGCAGGGTACGAGTCAGGGGACAGGTCAGGGACAGGTCAAAAGACAGGCCAGTGGACAGGCGAGAGGACAGGTCAGTGGACAGGTCAAAGGACAGGTTAGTGGACAGAACGGTGGACAGGTCCGTGGACACTCAGAATGGGTCAGTGGATATGGTTTGACACGTGGGCCAAACAAGTGATGGGAAAGTTGACAACTGGACAGTGCGCACGGTACAGGTCGAAATGTGGATGTTATATATTGGTTAGGTAGCTAGTTGCTAAGACGATACTGGGCAAAATATGCAGGAAAGCTGGACTCGGCGAGCGTCGAATTTATGTCAAATCACGATCGCTTCCTCGTCATTGGAACTGTCGACTAGATAAATTGACACCACTCAAAAACATTCATCGATGGATCGCTTACGATAGATCGCTTAGGCCAAAAGACTTGTGTCTAGTGTATTCGCAATCACGTTTTTGTGGCTAGTCGATTACATGTCTGGAGCAAAAAGCGCACAGCGTGTCTGCAATCGTTTTCCATTTGTCACTAATCAAGGCCATGGGCCACACCATGCGTTTCTAGGGAGGTTTGGCAGGCACACGGGGTCGTCGTTGAATAACATCGTGACAGTGCCTGCTCCCTCTTGGATGCGCTGCGCATTATTATGTAGGCACGACCTCTCAGCTCGACCTCGTTTGACCTCCAACGCCAGCCGATTGGCAGAGTGATGAGGCACCACCACCGCCGCCCATTCTGGTACACAGCCAGTAGCTGCGCTGTACACAGCTGCCATACAGAACTAGATCGTCTGACATCAGATGCAGTGTCAATCAATCATGAACAACTCCGTACTGCCGCCGATCAGCAGCCCGTCATGGGTATTTCATGCGCAACAGATCGCGGCCTCACGTGAGGAACTTCTAGAACGAGCGAAACTGATGGCACTGTTTGTGAACACGGCGACAGGGCTGCCGGTGACGCGACAGAAGGATCGGTGTCGTTGTTGGAGAGATGGGGAGGGAAGGGGAGGGCTAAAACAGAACTGGTGGCTGTCGAACAGTGACCGGACCGGCACGTGGATCGGGGGGTTGGGGAAGGGAGGGAGGAGATGGGTACGACAGGGCCAGCGGGGTTTGATCGACGAGGGAGGGGAGATGTCGCCCCACGTGGCGAGCGCGTGATCCTGCACTCATCAGCTGTGAGATGTGGGTTACCAATTCCCATTCACCAGCAACCTCCTCAGGGTCACCAAGATGATAAGTATTTTACACGATCTCGCTTGCAACGGAGCTCAGCTTCCCTGTACTCGCAACTCAACTGTTTGTTCGATTTACCCTCAGCTTCACAAGACCGTCGCTCCTTGACCTTCTTATCCGCTATACGCTCTTATGTTCGGCCTTGCTAACTACGTAGGCACACGTGCGTTTAGAACAAATACCTACGTATTGCGTATGGAGAGCCTGCTGAACGTTTAACGTTGTCCGCTAGAAAGCTGATCTTCTCCCATTGCTGAATCGCTAACCAACTTATCGTTTTGCTATAAAATCGGTTTCCGGCAGCAATTTTTCGTGTTTCAGTGTCATTTCTCGGTTACCCATTTACACTGGCGTTGGACCCCATTCATTGTGTTTCTGGGCCACATATCGCTAATGTCATCACGATTCTATGTTATTGCACTGAACTTACAGCAGTTCCACCCAATATTTTAAGTGATCAGTTACCAGCCCACGTGCGGTTGTCGTGTCGTAATTCAGTATCCCCGGAAACTGCGCCAGCGATGGGTCAGCTTCCGCGTAAAACGGGCTATATCGCTGATGGTGCTGTTCGTTGCCGTGTTTGCGCCGGTGAGGACTGACCGCTGTGTGGTCTGGGTGCCGTTTCAGTCGGTCAGAGATGGATTTCTACCTGGACTCAGACGATGAAGACAACAACAGCCGCACCTCGACGCTGCTAACTCAGAGTAGAGGAGGTGGACGGAGGAGCGCAGGATGGTGAGTACCGAGTATCGAGTGATGTGACCTGTACAAGTGCTGATCTACTGAACAATGACCTGCTGGACGTATTATTCCTTATTTATGCGTATTTTCTTTCTGTCAGTTCGGGAATGTACCTCTCCTGAATATTGTAATGTGATCTTTGAACCGAAATGCTTGTAGTTAGATAATTTACGGTATGGATCACAGGAATATAGTGTTGGTTTTGACTTCAAATCACATCGCTCCATTCAATGATAGGTACTTCCCAAACTATGCCCAAACATAAAATGTTTCAATTTATGTGGCAACGCACCAAAGCTTGCGGCACAAAGAAGCTGCGTACCTTTTGACCCGTCCAGTAGTTAAATTCTCTCCAATCCGTCTTATTTTACTGCGGCCGAGTATCGGGAACTGAGCAGAACTGTATTTCATTTGGAGACGGCTACATGCTGTTCGTACGCCTGTGTGCATACGTAATTATCGCATGTAGGTACATTTCGTGTGACATTGGAAGTGGCCTCGGCAGTCCCGTATGGCGCTCTGATTGCAGCACTGATAAGCTGTTAATTGAGCTCATTGGCAATGCTATATTCAGATTAATCGTAGCCAATTGGGATGGAAATTAGCAAGGCGGTGGCAGCTAAGGTGCGGCTCTTCACTTGATGCACCTCTTGCTGAACAGAGGACGTTCTGTCTGAGTGACACTATCCATCACTCGCTAGGTCGAGGACGGATGTAGGACAACTCCTTTCTGTTGAACCGCCACGTGTTTCTGCGAGTGAAACCGGGTGCTCGGCGCTGCCTGAGCCACCGGAGACCGTCAGCTGGACGTTGTCAGTGACAGATGGACCACCCGCACGGTAATAGGAGTCGGTCCATCTGGGAAACCGTCGGATCAGAGGGTCGCCGTCCACCAGAGCAGAGGGTCACTGGGGCCGGCGGGTCATCCGGGAGGTAGACGGGGAGATATAGCCATCTGGAGACAGCAGGGGCGAAATATACAGGGTTCCTGGATTGCTGGTCCATCCGGGGGGCAAACGGAGGGGGCGGGGGCTACGGACCGACGGTCCATCTGGGGTCCAGCTGGGAGAAAAGCCCTCCCATGTGGACTGCCCTCGCGGTATTTCTGTCCCCTGAACACAGTTGATTAGAGCAGATCACCAGCAATTGCCCGGCTCAGCAACTGCAGCAATCGACCGGCCATATGACCGCTGGCCCCTATCAGGTCTGCGACTGCTTGCTCCAGCTGCCAGCCAGAAGCGACATGTCATGCCCAAAACGAAACAACGATATCATCTTGCATTGATCCATTACGGTTTGATCAGGCGCGTGTGTTTTACGCCTCACGCGATCAGAGACCACCTTTGAACATGGCACGAATGGTGCGAGCTGTAAATCACCAGCCTTGCTACTGTTTTACGGGTCCTAATGGAGTGAAACCAATCAGTGGCCTGTAGCTTCCGTGATTTGGACCTTGAGACCTTCGATATTCCTTTGAAGTAGGTATCCAATATCCATCTACAAGGGAACGCCGAAACATCGCCCTAATGGGGAGCACGGAATGGCTTCACAAAGAAGAGCCGCGACGTGTTTTACACTTTAGGGTGACCGTAATGCTGCTTCATAATAAGCGTCTCGAACACTGATAATGGGATGAAATTCACCGTGCGTTCGCCGAAGGTCAAGCGTCACTGCCGTTGGTGATTTGATAATTTGAATATAGGCGATGTGCGCGATGTGAGTGTCCACGTCCACGCACACCAACTGCGCAGGATAGAGCTCAGAGGGGCTAAGCTGTCTGAGAAGGGCAGAGCGAAAGAGTGAGCGAATGCTTCAAGCGGGGCCTTGACTTCAAGTCAGCAAACACAACTAAGTTATAATACCGTTTTTTATCATTGTACATGGTTTTGGGTGAAAATGGCTTCCCACTTACAAATTGCGACAGAACATCGTCTTATGTGGATGTTTATGGGGGCTGTTTACGGGGACAATGTCACCTTGAAGCACGTGCACTGTAGGTGATGGAGCCTTCTACATAGTCTGGGCGGCTGTTTGACCTTGGGTATTGGCCAGCAACACTGATGTTGCGTGCTGGCGGCAGGGCGATAGGTCCCGCCTCAGGAGCGTGCCGACTTTCCTGGCCGGCCTCAGTGCTGATCGGGGGCCGAGGGTCGGCAGACGGTCTGTGCCTGTGGCTGCGCCTTCAGTGGGGACCGGGACCCACTGAGGGTTCATTCAGGAACCACGGCAGTGCAGTGCTGATCAACGTCAGGCTCCATTGGTGAAGTGGTTGGCCAGTGTTAAGGCTCTTCAGCAATAGCAAGTTTGGATTGGCGCTCAAAGGGGGAAGTGGAAGCGTAGTGATCTATTTAGACAAAGAAGTGGGTTGGCTAACCAACGAAGCAAGATAAAAGTGAACACAAGCAGGCAGCGATCGAGCCTGAAGCACAGAGAGGCTGTACGACTGATGGTGGTGGTGGACAGAGTTTCCTTCCGGCAACTGAAGTGAGCCTCTGAATACATAGAGTCATTGTCATCTGGCTACTTCGACATTTGTGGATGAGCTGCAACTTAGAAGTTGCCTTCCTTTCATCGCCTGAAGTCGTGCACATACCTTAACACTTTTGCGTGTTTTCTGACTGTGAAAGAATGCCGTCGAGGCTTTATCTGCAAATTCCATCGTTCAAGTCGGAGGCTGTCGGCCAGTGTGACGGTATGACGGACAGCCCTCCTCCGCGACTGGAAACGCGTCCGGCACTGCTGGCGACTCCCGAGATCTGCATCAACGGCAGTCCCCTGTCGACTGAGGTGGCCGCCGCACCGCCGGCTCCACAGCTGCAGCTGCTGCTGCCGGAACCGGTCAACAACTGCCAGTCCCCGCCGCCCGTCAGCATCGCAGTCAGCCAGGACGGCGCGGTGACCCTGCGAGCGGTCCCTGCAGGCGGTGATGGCCCCATCAATGGATCTTTCCCGACGGAGACGACCTCCGCGGTGCAGGAGGCAGGGACTTCATCAACCACGGCCACCGAACAGACACCGGCAGACCCGGACCCAGAGCGGGAGGCCGGGCCCCTGGACGCCTTCCGGCTGGATGCCGACGATATCGCCTTCGCCGACGACGAGACGACACCGGACTGCGTGCAGTCCGCTCCACCATCCCCGCATCTCACTCGCGCGCTACCGCCGGCTCTCTCGGTGCCCGGGCGTCGGGCCGGATCGCCGGACCTCTCCGAGGCCTCGACCATCGACCTGGACAACTCGCCGGACGACCGACTGAGCCTGCTGGAAGTACCGGGGAGACGGCATCGCTCCGTCAGCTTCAGTGAGGGCGGCGGGCTGAGCGGGGCCAACTCGGTGTGCTCGCTGGCCTCCTCGGTGGAGGGACCCGGCCCGGCGCGCTGCGTCCCCGCCGCCGACATCCAACAGAGGTGACTGACGAGCCGCCGGGGCGACACCCAGTTCCATCGCGTAATTCCATATAGGCTGTGATTCCTGCAACTAGTTTGCACTAGGCAATGTTTTAGCAACAGGACGGTACGCAATGCACATGCAATAATGATCCCAATTCCAGAAACAGAAACGGAGCACCGCGCTTCCTGCGTAGTCGCTCCACTTACTGTGCGTGTCAGCGTGTGTGGGCGCATATACCCGATTTGGAAGCTGACACTTCACGCGATATCGCTTCTATCGTCGCACTTACTAGCGTTAAATTCTTGGCATTTAGTGCTGGTTGGCGCAAATTTACGCACGGAGGTGTTTCATTAGGTTTGAATTTACGCAGTAGGTACATGCCAGACGCTCTGTGTCCTGTAGCCATCACCTGTAGTTATTTGCGTCTTTGTATCCGTCCCCAGTGTTTCGTTCGTCCTCACTGACCAGCTCCAGTGTCCAGTGTTCCGTGTATCGTGTTCTTGTGTTCATCCCTTTGACACGAGTCCTTTTGTTGCAGCGACTCGCTGGTAGTGATCATCAGCGCGCTGTACTGCAAGCTGCTGGTGGTGATCGGGCTGGCGTTCCCCCTCTCCGAGGTCATCTCGTCCAACATCCCGCCATTCTACTACGAGGTCAGCGAGGTCTGAAAAAGACTAACCCTAACCCGTAACCAACCGCACTGCTTCGCCGCCATGGGAGGAAGGAGATGCTGACACGGGGGCTTACGGGCAGCAATGCGACACAACGTCTCGCGTTCGTGCTGGGGTCCGGCGCAACAGGTGACAACGGGTAACAACAGGTAACAACAAGTATCAACAGGTAACAACAGGTAACAACAGGTAACACACAGGAACATACAGAAATCGGCAGCCAACAGTAAGAAACAATATGACATGCGTAATGACTGACCTCTCGCTTCCTCGCTGCATATATGTAAGTGCTTGAACAATTTGGGATGAGACACGCGGTACATTTTGAACATCATACAAGCCTGAACATACAAGCATTGTCGATATATTTGCTTCTTAATCGTGCGCCATTTATAATGCTACCTATATATTATTGTAAACGCTAGAAGCTGTATAGGTATGACTTGAAGTCGTGTGTCACTTCTCTCCGATGCATTGAGAAAGGCGATATAACTCCTACACTGCACACGTCGCTTATTTTCAGGAATGCTCCGGCACATTAAGATAATGATTTGAGAATTATTTCGATGAATAATATGACTTTATTATGCGATTTCTACATATTATACTTGTACATGACAATTGATCATAGAACCGTAAATAGATCATAAATCAACCTGTCACATTTAAAATCCGAAACTGGATTTCCGAATGAAATCAACCGCCATAAGTCGGATAATAAATTACAAACTTATTTAACACAGACGTGTGTTCCTGTTCAGACTACCACGCCAGTGTAGTCATAGGAGGAAAACGAACGATCTTATATTTTGGTAATATTACTAAGTGCTCGAGCGAGGAACATATTGAATATAATTAGATAAATAAAAGAAGTTGACCTTTTCCTCGACATCAAAAATGTAAAAAGCCGAATAATATATTGTAAAAAACGGTGAGCTTTCGGCCACTGGCCTTTATCAAACCAACGTGATAACCAATGTTATCACGTTGGTTTGATAAAGGCCAGTGGCCGAAAGCTCACCGTTTTTTACAATATATTATTCGGCTTTTTACATTTTTGATGTCGAGGAAAAGGTCAACTTCTTTTATTTATCTGATCTTATATTTTACCCAACTATTTCATTACCGCTAATTCACAGCTCATTAGGTCCATGTGTGGCTTAGTAATGAAGAGAATGTCCCATCACAAGACACACACGCCAAACTGGCGTCCTGTTGATATCAGAGCGTATAGCCGACGTTAGGTCGGTGCACGACTTTCTCAATCTTCCCTAGCAACGCCAGCGATGCACCCGCCGAGCTTGACTATGCATTGCGTCGATTTGCCTTGATTCGCTCTTTGTTCGATGCTCGTCACAAGATGAGCCAGCACGCGACGCATCCGCCGCCGTTGACGACAAACAGGCGAACGGTGTAGATATGTACGGCTGTTGGCGAGTTGCTTGTGAAGGATGTAGGTCTGTTTGCCAGTGGTAAACGCTTAGACGGCTGTCTCATGTCTGAATCTAAATGTGTGCGTTTTTTGCACGGCTGTCTGAGTCAGTGGCATCTGCGATTCTGACGTTGCTGGTGCCGGACCGGCCGCCATCCCCTTACTGGTCAAGTAGGGCCTTGGGTCACATCACCATTGTGCTGACGCCTCGTGGCGCAGGAACTTCCCTGTCCACGCTCTTACCTGCTGATAGATAACTCATCTATACCGGGGCACAGAAAGGACACCCCGAACTGCGTATGTGAGAGCACCATGCCTACTTCGTCACGGTATGCATAATGTCTCAGCTGACTGGACCAGGAATGTTCGATAATGGGTGCCGATAGGCGCCGCTAGTCAGGACACAGAGAGGTCACCCGGTAATACCGGCCATAAATTGACATGGGCGGCTGCATACGCTCAGCGAGATGAACTTTTGTCACATCACGGTGTCGGTCGCGCGTGTCAAAAGTATCAGATTAGTGTGGAACTGTGGGAGGAGTACCTAGCGTGTCGACGAACCTTCTCTCATTAAGATAGAGCTGCATAGCAAATCAGAACGGGACGATGGACAACGGTGATGCCATTTGAGCCTGATTGTTCTGCTATTATGGTTGATATTCAGGCAATGCGGCGGTGCCTTCTGGGTCTAAGAGACATTAAAGGTAGTGTGCCAGCTTTCTTGGACCGTATGGAGTTAATGGCCCAGATAAGGAGAACCGGATTTTTAGAACTTATCCATACCTTCAAAACTCATGGAAACGTCTTAAATTCTTCAAATTTTGAGTACCCCAGTGCGAAATTCGCCCCGACGGGTTGTCGGTCGTACCCCAACCACATTTCACACCACTATGAACAATAAATGCACACACTGAAATCGCTATTACCGATATGCTCATCCAATCAAGTTTCGATAAACCCGTTCATCATCATCTCCTGCGGTTTCGAACACGCCTGTTAGGTGGCTTCTGATGCTCGTTGAGGTCGGAATTTCCAAATACGCGTGGTGCGTCGGGCCGCGCGCTCTGACTTCGGCCAAGAAAAATGCGTCAGCTGATCATTGTCATTTCTGCCACTTGCGTGTGGTGAAATGGGGTCATAACTTATAAGACGGCTTTTTCATATCAATTATTTTACATAAAATCATATCCGTGTCGTCCACGGCTCCGTCACCCAGACAGGTCAGCCGGGAGACGAATATGGTGCTGGCGGCACTCAGACGGCGCACACGCACCATCCGACAGAACATGTCCAGGGGCACGGCCGGGCTGGAGGAGTCCAAGGGCATAGTGGCAGCGCGTCGCATGGTGATCTGCAGCAGACGGCCCAGCTGGAGCGACGCAGACGCGTCGTTGAAGAATGTGACGGCCGAGCGTGACACATGTTCCACGCAGGCCGTGTTGCTAGTGCGCTTCTGAGCCATGTTGCGCATAATGATTTCGGTCATGTAGCGGGCAGCGCTCAAAACCGTCGCCGGGTTAGACATCATGTTGCTCACCAAACCGAATCCTGAGACTTGGGTAGCGACAATCAGCAACAAACTGATTGCCAAATATGTCTTCATTTTGGAGTTTGTGATATGCGTTGAATGTTGCTTGATACCCTTCAGCCTTGTCCGATGTTTTGGGATTATCTAAATGATGCTAATCACTTAGCTTCAAAACGGAAGCTAAGTGATTAGCATCATTTAGATAATCCCAAAACATCGGACAAGGCTGAAGGGTATCAAGCAACATTCAACGCATATCACAAACTCCAAAATGAAGACATATTTGGCAATCAGTTTGTTGCTGATTGTCGCTACCCAAGTCTCAGGATTCGGTTTGGTGAGCAACATGATGTCTAACCCGGCGACGGTTTTGAGCGCTGCCCGCTACATGACCGAAATCATTATGCGCAACATGGCTCAGAAGCGCACTAGCAACACGGCCTGCGTGGAACATGTGTCACGCTCGGCCGTCACATTCTTCAACGACGCGTCTGCGTCGCTCCAGCTGGGCCGTCTGCTGCAGATCACCATGCGACGCGCTGCCACTATGCCCTTGGACTCCTCCAGCCCGGCCGTGCCCCTGGACATGTTCTGTCGGATGGTGCGTGTGCGCCGTCTGAGTGCCGCCAGCACCATAAAATCATATTTCAAACCATAAATAATGTTCGACAGCCAAATAAAAGAAACAATACCAATACGGGCTTACAGTTTAAGGCTCGACATTGTGTTGTCTACGATTAGACAGCTGATAACTCATTCCCGTACGTCGTATGGTCGTAACACTATAATGACCTTTGCTTATTGTCACAAGTGCGCCGCATTCGCGATTGTTGCCCGACGCCTGTTTGCAGGTGAGCCCACTACAGTTGTTATACATATCTAAAAACCGAAAAACTTTTAGGCGAAAAAGGCACTATTCCAGGCCCATTTTTGATTTTTTTTTGCGATATTAGGTAAAAACAGAAGCTTCTTATCCTAGGAAAAATAAAATGGGAAATCTTTCAAAGGTGGCACACTACCTTTAAGTTCATGGCTTGAAGTTAAATTAGACAGAAGTTTGAGGCCTCTCGAAACCGGAATAAATTGATCATCATAATTTATTGTTCATCGAAATGTTTATTTTATCAAAACGTAACGTTTTTGCATTATCTGCATTTTGTGCGTATAGGTATGATATATAGCTACGGCAAATTTGCACCTTATTTGCAGAGCCTCCGATCAATATGATCGTTAGACGTCATACAATTTGAGAGCAGAAGGATATATGGTCATGTTAGCTCAAAAAGGTCCGCATTTAGCAGCATATGGGATCTTCTCCGAAGCAATATAAGCCTTCTTTGGCATAAACTGATAACTGACTACTAAGCTGCGTTGGACACAACACTTGACGCCTCGCCAGCTCCACCCTGTGAAAATTGTGTATTAATGCATGCAACCTGCTGGACAATGATGGAAATTCTCTTGCTATCGACGACAGTGGGCCATTAATTTACAGGAATCCACGCTTACCGGGCGTTCCTCTGCATTTCAAAGGGCGCGGCGGTGCTGGAATCCGGCTCCACGCCGATCCAAATCTGTGCGAGCTGCCTGCAGAAGTTGTTTGTTTCCAGCGCCGGGTCAGGAGGCCATCCGTCACAAGGGGCTCGCAGTGGACAGCTGGGATACGGGACAGTTTCGCGCGCCTGTTACCTGGCAGGCTCTGGGCCTCTCAACTCTATCACTGGGTGCTAGAGAAAGGAAAGGGACACCACTGGTCTTCGCTCTTTCAGTCGTATCTACAATGATATACAGTTTTGAAACTTAGCACACGTATTTACGAATGACACGTATCGCGTAAAAAAATAAAAACACAAACCGGTTCCGGGTCGGCCAGAGCAATGCCTTATGTCGTCGTCTACGCCATCATTGCAGCGTTAGGTTACAGAAGGTAAACACCTTTGGTACCCTTTCCTTATTGTGTCCTTCTGGAAGTGCTTTAGGCCCCTTTGATGACGCTATGTGACTGGATGTTTGTTTGTAAGCGCACTCAGCAGCACTACTGGTTGCAGGTGTTCTACATCTACCTGTACAGCTGCAGCATCCTGTTCCTGCTGTACGTGTACATATTTCTGCTGAAGGACGCCACCGTCACGGATACCGCCGGATCCACGTCGAAACTATCGCGGCTCTCCAGCGCCAGCATGAGCCGAATCGGTGAGTGGGGCGACGAAATCGTGAATGTGAACTGTTATCGGACGAAGCCGAATTGCAAAATGGGCAGACATAAGTATGTTGTGTGCACCTTCGGTTCGGTAGACAGGATTACAATGATCAGCAATTTTGCAAGCTTGCATTTTGAATTAAATCCTGCAATTTTTGTAATGCTGCCAACCGTCTCCAGCTGAAGTTGCTCTTGTAGTCTCAGTTATTACGATTACCTTATTTCTTATTTCTCATAGCTGAGGCATATAATTATTGGATGGAGGCTTATCGGTGATCAGTGTTGGTTCATCTCCGTTCGTCTGGGTGATGCCCTCTCAGTAAGGGTCAGTCGTCAGGCCCTATCACCCCTGTTAGTCTATTCTGTCGGCCCGGAAGCTTAGCGGAGGTCAGCAGTCTGTCCCCGTCGCCGAACCGTCCTCTCGGCGTCAGGGACCGCCGCCGTGCGTGGCACCGCCAGCTGCCGCGTCCCCGACCCACTACTTGGCTATGCTGCCCCACGCTCAGGCGTCACAATACGCGTCGTCAGTCGGAGGGTGTAAAAAGGCTTTCTGACAGCTTTTGTCATCGGAAGCCGATCGGTTATTCTGTTGTGATTGCAGTTGCTACATGTAAGCACCATAACTAGCTCTATTTTTAAGCATTTATGAGATTTATCCTGCTGTACACAGAAGATTTACACATTTACGCATCAATCAGCAAATAATGCCATCGACGATCTAAGAGTTATTTTTGCTAAATAAGTTGCCAAGGCATTTCAAGCGTCCTCCAAAATCGCAGCTACTCTTCTACTGGCCGTTGCAGTCTCCACTAATTACGGAGCGAGCGAAGCGAGCGGAGTCTCATACTGAATTAAGGGAAAATCCTGAGTATGAGCGGCCGGCCGGCCGGCCGGCCGTGGGGACGCTCTTCAAAAGCTAATATCTTAGGAACGGGACATCCGATTGACAAGCGGTCTTCTTTACTGAATGTCACTTGGACGTAAAAGTTCTGTGGTGTGATGGCCACCATGCGTTCTTGCCAACCACCGCACGTGGCGCGTGGTAAAGTTGGACATTTTTTAAGAACCCCCAAAATTGCAACCTCAATAACGGCACAACGGTCGGGCCGATTGAATTGAAACTCGGTACACAGTTAGGTCTCCATCAGATAATTATCTGCATGTGTTAAGGTTGGGGTGCTACAGCACGTGCGCACGTGCAGGGGGCGCTCCCAGATCTCGAGAACGGCTGGGCCGATTGCGCTCAAATTTGGTACACGGTTGGGGACCAGTTAGTAGGGTGCCGTGCAAAAGTCAGTTTGGACCCCGCTTGCACGTGCGCACGTGCAGTGTGCCGCTTCCAGATCTCGAAAACGGCTAGGCCGATTGCGCTGAAATTTGGCACATCGCTAAAGACCGGTTAGTAGGGTGCAGTGCACAAGTTAGTTGGAGGTACCCCCTCGCAATTTCGCACGTGCAAGGCCCATCCTCTCGCTCGCTCCGTTGGTCGCCCAAAAGGCGTTTTACTGGTGATATACGCGCTCCTTGCGATTTCACGTCTATCAATGCTTATAGTAGGTATGTAGTGAGCTACTTTTCCGTTTCGCAGGTCGTCTGTTGCGGATGGACTCCCGGACGTCAGCCGCCGGTGACCCGGAGACGGCCAGTCAGATCAGTCGTACCTCCCAGCACAAACCCTACATGGTGCTGGTGGCCAGCTACGGCAGCTTCTACCTGCGCATGGGAGCCGTCTGTGAGTAATAACAGTCCGTTAGTTAATCTGTCTGTCAGTTCAGTCTGTGAGTAACGACAGTCTGTTAGTCAGTCTGTCAGTCAGTTCAGTCTGTAAGTGGCTGTAGCCAGTTTCAGTCTGCTGACTGCAGTCTTTCTGTACATATAGGCCTTAGACTAATTGGTTAGGTACGCATTGTGCTGTCCCAAGAAAACGACCGCAGTGAGTTGTGACTTGGGTATGAAGTTAAAAGTTTTTTGGCACTTTTTGCAGTCTGCCGACTGCCGAAACATAAGCGATGTCTGATGTCTGGAGACATGTCTGCGTGCTTAGATTGTTCAAGTCATAAGTTTTTTTCTTTGCATTAATCGATTTCTCATTGCGATCTAAGTCATCAGGGGCCTCTTTGATCAATTTAGAACTAGGTTGTGTAACCAGGCAAAATACGCCGCGTTCCACTTAATCAAAGCATCTTATTGCGCTACAACAAGACATATGACGGTTGCATTGCCAAACGGTTTTGTTCCGGCGGCCATTTCTAGCATCGTTTTACCAAATTGTGTATGTACTTATAAGTACGGACTTATTTCTTTCTGGAATAGTCAGGCTATTTTTAAGTTGAAAGTGATGCATATATATATTTACAAGAGACCTTGCAGTTCACTGCGCTTCAATTATTGCATGGCTGCCTTTAGATAGCTGATGCAACGTTGCATGATGTCTCTAGTTCCACTGGGTGAGGGTGGATCTAAAGTGGGTGGATTGAATGCACAGTGGGCGGCGCCACATTGTTGTGTCGCGTGCCGGTGCAGGGCGCTCGCTGACACCCTGTCTGACCCTCCTGTGGACAGTGTTCGGCATCGGCAGTATGATCTACTCGGGCCTCGAGATGGGCCAGTACTTCGAGGTGCCCCACACCGCCGAGTGCAGCAACGTACTGCGCGCCGTCACCCCCGGACTGAGGCTTACGTTCATCTTTATTCAGATGTACTTCGTCTTCCTCAATGCCAGCGTGAGTTTGACAACTTTGAGCTTGTCACATACATATTTGCTCCCGCATAGAAGTCTCATGAAAACCATGCTCGTAGTGCCATAACCATAATTGAACTTCTTCAATCGATCCCTCTTAGTTATAGCACCTTATATGCATGACTCTAGACTATCGATTAAGCAGAATCACATGTGAAGACTGAAGGATAGGTGGACTTCACTTGACACACAGCTTAACACCTTCAAAGCCAACTGGCTTGCTATCTCTATTTACGCTCCTCGCTGTTCCACAGATGTCGATCAACAAGCACAAGCTGCTGGCGCGGTTCGGCCTGATGCACATGGTGGGCACCAACCTGTGCGTCTGGCTGAAGGTGGTGATCCAGGAGACCAAGCACGAGCTGGTGCACCTGCTGAGCGTCTACGAGCTCGGCGGGGCAGGTCACCACGACCGGCACCGGCGCGGCGCCGGAACCAGTGTCAACGCCACCGGTGAGCTACATCTCGCTGAAAGCTCCGCAGGTTCTTTTACTCTACCCACTAGTTCCGGTCCTTGGTTTAGTTCCCGGTCCTTTATCCTGGTTTATTATTCAATAGTCCCTGACTGAGGATGCACTGTAAGATCACTGCTGCGTTCCCCTGGTCCGTGCCCGTTTGTTTCTATCCGAAATCCAACGGTCCCAGTTCGCTGAGCCACAGGTTCGTATTGCTACTTCAAGAGTCCATTATTCCGGTCCCACTGGTCTCGGCTTGGTGGCCCGCTGAAGTCGCCCTTTCCTCCCTTGCCAGCCTTTTGGCCCGTTTATCCCAACTTGCAGCTAGAGGACCCCAATGTGGTTGCCGTTAGCTCCGGCTCCCTGGTCCCGCATGCCACCCAGCCTGCAGGTCGTTGTGCAGGTCAGTGTCCGTCCCACACAGGTCCCCATTCTGGGTCACGCTGGCCAGTGGCCCCGTTTCGCTGGTGTCGGCGCCCTGTCCAAAGTTTCCGAGTGCACGCGGTGACCGGCCGACACGGGCGGCCAGCGGCTGCGCAGATTACAACGGACAGCAATTGGCGATAGTGGGCTTCAATCCGTCTAATTGGATTGGTGCCACTGTCGCCGACCGCCGCGGTAATTTCCGGCCCGGCCGCGGATCCTTTAATGCCGCCAGTGTCGCCTTCGACAGTGTCCCTCATCCTTGTCAAACGATGACAATGTCTCTGAAAGGTTCTGAGATCAGGCTGGCTCACATGTAGGTCTTCTCAGAAGGCACTCGAGTGAACGATGGGTAGTTAACAGTGACTCTGCATTATACCTAGCCAATTTTCTCTGGGATTTAAATCACTGCACTGCACTGGCGTCTTTATCTCATCCCTCCCTCCGGCTCCGTCAGTGGAAGAATATTGAGTGGAGCTTATAGGACCCTACTAGAGAGTAGCTCCCATGGAACCCGTCTTCATGGGACCGTAAAAGACCCCCTGTTGTCCATCTTGTGCAGTAGCTTATCGTGACTTGCGGTCGAATTTAGATGGACTTGCATCGTGGCCAAATAGTTAAATTCGTCTGCATAACCAGCTCACTGCTCAGACACTCAGACAACATGAACTTCCTCCACAGATCACCACAGTCCGCCGGCTGCGACGACTCTCAGCGACATCGAGACGGGTTTCAACCACGACCTGCAGGAGTTCCACGACAGCCAGTCGGAGGACGGCCTGCTGCGTCAGTGCGCGCGCTCCGACATCATGGGCAACCTGGTAGACTCGGCGTCACCGTTCCTCTTCCCCTGCACCATCGAGTACTCGCTCATCTGCGCGGCCACGCTGTACGTCATGTGGAAGAACCTCAACAAGCTGAACACGGTGTACGTGATGCGAGACGTCAGCATCTCGCTGAGCGGAGAGAAGAACAAGAAGCATCAGTATTCGGTGGACTGCGCCAGGTGGGTGGGCTTGGGGCTGGCGGAGGGAGAATTAGTGCTGATGTTCTGAGGCGAGTGAACAACGCTTTAGGAATGCCTAACTTCATGGCTAGCTAGTCTTGTTGTGCATTTGCATTCTTGCCATGGAAGGCTAAAGTAAGTTATGTTCAGAGAGAAAGGGATGATGTTCAAGCACCAAGGGAATGTATGCATCTTTATGTCTTACAGTATTTCGCCAACCTTTCGAAGTTGTGGGATGTATGTCCCTCTGCCTGATGACTATAACAGAGCGGCCGCCATTTTCCCCGTTCACAGAGCGTCCAAGGGCTTGTTTCTGGGCATCCTGGTGCTGGTGGCCTCCATCATCTCTCTGATACTCTTCTTCGTGCTCATCAACAAGCAGGGCTTCAAGCAGACGGCCATCGTCAGCGCGAGTATGACGGAGCTGGTGCTGTACTGCGTCACCATAATGGCCATCATCATCGGCATGGTGCAGATACAGCGACTCAGGTGAGAGGGATGTTCGAGGATCAACATCAGGGCACTCGACGTCATACTCCGCTGCTCCGGCAGTGTGATACTACATTTGATCGATCATCATTGCCACCGTCTATAATCGCGATGCAATTATTTCTTGTTGTCGCTCGTCGAGTACGGTTGAATTGACCAGACCAACGATGCCAACGTGTTCAGGTACCGATCAGAGAGTAACATCGAGCTGGACAACATCCTGCTGGTGGTGGCGCAGACGGGCGTCTACCTGTACGCCTCCTTCAACATCATCGGCTCCCACTTCTCCAACGACCTGACGTCGCTCGGCACCAGCGTCATGGCCATCGCGCAGGTGAGCCTGAGGCACAGGGTTATTATGGGTGAGCTAAGTGATCGAGCGTCATTTCACTCATCATCAGCTATCGACCTGAAAATAAAATAGACATCTGTATTCTGTTAGGGCGTCACATGCAACTTCTGACGTCCATAGATAGATTCATGGAAGTTTGTAGTTTGGACTTATTACTCCTGTCATATTACTTTACTCTTTTATCTAAGTGATCTTCCAATCAAACCCCTCGAACTAACGTCCCACGATCACTCTTAGTTAGTACGTCTTTCGTCCTCGATATGACGATATCTCTGACTCGTAATGCATTGCGTCGTCTGTAATTGATTATGACGTCCCTCATTCTGGTGTTCTCCACAGGTGACGATGCAGACCATGTTTATCCTGGACGCATCTTGTCGCCAGGCGTACCGTTCCAGTCACGTGAGTACTCCGTGTACCCGGGCGGCTGACTGGGTCGAGGCTCAGCTGAGTGCCGTCACGGGGCGCACAATGGACGGCCTGCGCTGTTTACCGCGTGTGATGAGGCCCTGTTTACACCGGTAGATGATTGCCCCATGCCGTGACTGGGATGAAACTTGCTCACGCTGCCGTAGTTGGCACGGATTGATGATATTTGTGCAATCTTACGGCAACCATGTTTGTGTGCTTACCGCAGCATCTACCTTTCCACATACCATTATCACTTCTTTTTTTGTCTCGACATTTCTTATCGCCTGCCTTTTCCTTATTTTATTTCATCCGCTTAATACGCTTAAACTCATTTTGTGTATCACTCTTCTTCTTATTTCATGTAAATTTGATTCCGATCGCATTTGTCTTGTCTCTTCGCTGGCCCGACTTCTTCCTACCTATCCCCTCCCGTCTTCCCCGTCTTCCCCAACTCCGTCTCTCCCCGTTCATCGGTTACAGCGTCGCCAGTGACGGAGCTGCTCGGCGGCAGCGCGGGCGGCTCGTGCTGGGGGGCGGCTCGGTGGCCTGGTCGACTGTTTGTCATTGATTGGCACAATGTTGGCTCAATTGGAGTGATTTGGGGCGGTGCGTGTTCTCTCCCGTCCCCCGAGTGGCTACCGCGAACTGATAAAGGGAACAGCCATCGCATGTGGACGCTGGTCGGTCGGTCTGTGCGGGTTAGAGGCTCGTAGGCTAGCTCAGTCGTCCGTGGACCGAAAAGTACGCTATGTAGTTCGGTAAAACTCCGTATAGACCATATTTCCCGCTCGGAACCACGTGTCACCGGAACGGCGTAGCACGGTCGACTGTTCACACACGCACACCTCCACTCAAATCTGATCGGTCTGCGTTTTCCGGGATTGAAAGTAATTAATTCACGACGTTTGACGCATTAGTGTGCTTTGACCGGCGTAATTGGGGATCTGCTTTGATAAGAGGCCATAAATGTCACTGCCCATTACGTCTTACGTCCTTTTATGCTCGGGAAATACATCTTCCAAGGAACAGCTATAGCGCGGCTGAAGGCTATGTTGCAATTTTTTCATCGTGTTTACGCATGGTGAGGTGTTCAATACCTGGGCTATCATTATATTTAAGTGAAGTGCCTCACATTCCGTCTGCTCACTTATTTCGCTAATAAACTTTTATGTGACGTCTATCCATACGTAACGCCGTCTAATCATTTCCCGATCTCATCACCATTGCGTACTCTACTAATCGAGCCGCTAGACTACCAACGGAATTAGACCCTTGATTTGGTAAGTGAAACTTTTTTAATTATATAAAGGTGCTGTATTATAGAAAGCCTTTCTATTTATACATATTAAAAAGTATCACTTATCTAGTCATACTTGTCACAATGAACGTTCAGAAAAGGAACTAGATCCCCGTGTCTCTCCCCCTCCACTCCCCTGAGCAAGGGCTCACGAAGTCCGTTTTTGCACAACTATCGACCACCGCACGCTCTTGTTCAGCACGTGGGAGTCGGTGACCTAGATATCAACTCAGACATAAAACGCACATAGACCGAAACCCTCGCCTCGTAACCCGGACGCTGGAAGCAACGTTTTCACTTCTTATGTCTATAACCTTCCTGTTTCTTTCTGAGCGGGGTCTGTGAACAAAACCAGACACCACCAGCTGAGACCGGCTGGAAGTGGTAGATCTGCCAGAGAGAGTGACCCTGAGCTCATACGGATTCGGGATACCAATGTAAATCGTGATGGAACCGAGGACATGACATCAAAGAGTTTACTGACTGTTGGTGTCCAATAGGGTCAGGTAATAGAGGATAGAGAAGACGTGACTGCGTATCTATTGTACATACATGGAGCACAGCTATCTGAAACGGACGGAGCTCCGGAGATGGATGGGCCTCCAGTCGCTTCTCTAGGTCAGGGTTAATGGCTCCGGCCGCGTGGCTGGGAAAGCGACCTTCAAGCGGTGGCTAGTGAACCTCAACTCACGAGGCTTCCAGACGGTCAAATGGCGAAGGGCGCGCCAATTAGTTATGAACGTTCCTCCACGACACTATCCAAGCAGCTGCAGTCGTTAGACTAAGTGCAACAATGATCCCACCTTATATCTACTTCCCCATATCATCACACCCCGATGTGATCTGCTGACAGTCTGTTGCCCGGCCCCTAACCCCGCGGTGTGATTATGATACAACTGTAAGTGTAAACGAGCTGACCCCGATGTGACCTGAGCTCTGCTCCACTGACATACGATCTCCTTCGTCTGTCTCCAGTTGCGTGACAAGCCCGGTCGTGAGGTCGTCACCTTCCTCCTCATCTGCAACCTGGCCCTCTGGAGCATCCACGTGTTCGAGACCTCGCGCTCGGACGCCCACCCCCACCAGCTGCACTTCTTCGGCTTCTGGGCGTGGACCATCATCAGCCACGTGTCGATGCCGCTGGCCATCTTCTACCGGTTCCACAGCACCGTGTGTCTGTGCGAGATCTGGAAGCGCGCCTACAAGTACAAGCCGGAGTCTGTGTGACGGCGAGCCACCGTGGCCGAGCTGAGTGGACTGCGGGGTCGGCGTACTCGCTGTGTGTGCGCCGCCCGCGGTGCGCCCACCCGCGGCTACACGGTGTGAGCGCCCGCCGCGACCCCGACCGCGTCCCGACCGCGCCCCCGACCGCGCCCCGACTGCGCCCCGAGCAAGCCCCGACCGCGCCCCGACCTTTCCCCACACGCAGGGGTACGTCCCAAAACACCAGGCTGAGTGTCGGGCCTCCGTCCGAGTGAGAGCGAGTGAAAAGTGTGCAATGTGCAATGATGACCGAAGGCAGCGAGTCTTCGGTCCAGAGACTGAGGATGTTGTCCGATTGGTCCGAAGAGCGGGCATTGAGGACATGGGCTGTCTTGCCAAGCTGTCCGACCCGGACATGCCCCGAGACGGATGAGAGCAGCTCTTCTGATTGAGACTGAAAGTGAGGAAGTGAGAACAGTAGCAAGTAGCAACCCAACCGGTAGACTGGTGAACGAGAAGTGCGGACAGGAACCGTGTAAATAGTCTGCAGCCCGGAGCCTGTGGGCAGTCTGTCCGGTCAAAGATGAGAATTGAGGACATTAAGTGATACTCGGCTTGGAGATTTTAAGCAGTTTGACTGCAGTGTAAATACATGATGGCAGCAGAGTTAGTCTGCGATATACATAGACTTTAGACGTGTGCGCGTGAAACTTAACGAGCAAGTGTGCCGTGACGCATTGCAACGAGCTGAAGTGAGAGCATTTGTACACGATCGTTCGTAGAATCGCTACAGATCGTTTTGATTACCGTCTCTGCATACATACTTCGTTGAAATTCGAGCTGTCTGAGAGGATCTTGGCGATATGAGTGATATGTTTATAATATGCCAAGCGTAGTAAACATAGCACGCGACCTACGCAGTGGTCAAGCTGCAACGGGATAGGTGTATCATTTGTTTGAAGAACAGTGGAGATATGCTGTTAATAAATGTAATAAACTGAGAAAATAGAAATCGACTTTGCACAGCCGTTATAATTACATTTGCGGGCCTTCATGCGTCCGTATATCGTAGAAAAGACTGTTAAAAGGTAACGTTTTTATATTTGTTGAGTGAAAGAGGATAATAATCGCTAATCAGTGCTGGGTGATCGAAAGGCAACTACGGCAACAACGCACAACACAATTCTGAACGCTCCATATGTAACACATTTTTCACAGTGCATCTTGAACGTAAAGAATTACATACAAACGTGCTAGGGGTGAAAGTTTACGGAAAGCTGATCCTTATTCTGTTCTGCTACCTGGTCCCCTGATGGAGCGGTGAATTGCTAGCGGCTGCGTTTTAGACTGCCGCTACCGTCGACCCTTCCCTGCCATCCTCTATGTCTCCGTTCTGATTCGCCGCTGCCTTAGCGCTCTGCTTAGGCAGGCTGACATCAGACAGACATGCACTCTTGTCCCGCTGCTCCACTCTCACCTTACAGTAGACGGTGTCTCGTGTCATGTTGATACCGATCAGTCACGATTCGTGCTGCCAACATTATGGCGTCGCTGTTGTGGCCTGTGAGAGTGTGTTTGTGATCAGATGAGGTTTCCCCGGCTGTATATTTCGCGATGGGCTCTATAGTGGCCGTCCATCCTGCTGATGTGCTGATGTGACCAGTATGCGCTGCGCATTTGTAGCACGTTGTAGACGGTGTAGTGTGCAGTGTGGTTCATGTCTGCTGCTATGTCTATAGTATCGCGTGTGTGGTGTAGATGTGTGTATTGTGTTGTCTGCTATCCTCTAGGACACGTTGGCACGATATTTGTTTGTACTGTGTAGGTGATGCTTGCGCCATGTTGTGTCAATTGCGCTCTAGGGACAGTGCATATCCACCGTCCAAAGGTGGTGTGTCGAACTCGAACTGGGCAGGTTCAGCACTTAGCACAGCAGTGTTGTACCGCGCCAGCCTCTGTGCTGCAGTTCTCACACCCGCGCCGCAATAATACGGATGTTATTCCGCGTGGAGATTGTAGCTTGTAGGTACCCATATTGTAAATCGAATAAAGTCGTAGCGAGGTTAAAAGTTTTGTTGTATGTTTGTATCGTTTCCCTTTGGGGTTTTATCATCATATGGTACCAAAGTATACGTTTTCTCACCAGTTGGTTCGGGATTTCGTTGAGGTAAGATGATAAGAAAAACTCACGTTCGCACTGTTGCAGGGGCGTCGCCACGGATTTTTGAGTGGGGGGGTCGGGTTTTCGGTCTTCGTCTTGATGGGTAGGGATGTTTTTAGCCACACTCCCGGTTTTTTTCGTGTGCCCGGAGAAAAACCTCGGCGCGCAGCGCCGCGAAAGCAGCGGTATATCTTATTGTACATCAATTTTGCATCGTGCATAAAAATCAAGCAGAGGTCACCTGAGGTCAGATCACAATGTCATGTCAAGTTCAGTTTTAATGCCTCTTAAAACTGCAATCTTGCCATTCCTATAGATTATCTCCTGACTCCTACAAGTCTGAAATTTGGTGTAATGAATGGGATTATAAGTGCCAACAGTTCATGAATCTGGGATTTTACATCTGAGAAGCGAAGTCAGGTCAAATAGGTGTGTGACCTCACGAATCATGATAAGATATGGGAAAAGCACGATGCCCTCTGCTTTGAAAGAATATGCTAAAAACGCTAGATACTTTTGTAGCCATTGCACCTTGTTCATTTTAGAGATAAGGTGCAGCTAATGACCAGTGGTGACTGAAATGGTCAGTCATTAGGTCATCAAAGGTCTCTAACACATTTTCGACAACAACTTTTGATGGAGACGTTTTAGAGCGATGACAGCACCTGGAGTGTGTTCAGCTCAGTAACACAGATCGATCCATATGCAGCAGGTTCTTTTCCGGTCAGGTCATGACCTTTACCTGATGTCAAGTTTTCTATTCAAGTTTTTAAGTTCAAATTGTAAGCCATGCGACGTGTTTCGACGAAACAAAAACGATGGTGATAACATGAATATCATACACATTCACTGAATCATAGGTTGTTACAGAACAAATGTTTCGGCAAAATCCGTCCGTTTAGCTGTTTGGACTCTGGTACACAAGCCATATAGACCCGAAGTCATATCTGAGGCGAAGTTGGCGAAAGAGCTTTAAAAAGCTATCGAATACGCTTTCTGTGTTGCTGTAGCTCTTATTCGTATTTTGCGGGTCGCTAAGGTAAAACGTTTACCAACGTAGCGCATAAGGCGAGCTTTCGGCCCCTGATCGAGGTAGAGTTTCGCGGAAGAGCGAAAATGCTGCCCGTGATGAGAGAAAGCCGATGATGCCCAATTTCAAGGTCTTGGCCGGGTCATCTTAGGTCAACGCCCAAAAGTAGGAAAAATCTGTTCGCCTGCTAGAACTTAGTGAGCCGTAGCTGTTATCGGGGTCCCGAGTATGAGCTCGATGTTAGTCTTGAACAAAGATGATGACTCCATGCATTTTGGGTAGATCGGGTCGGGTCAGGTCACTGGTCAGGTCGACCAGCAGGCTTCCTGCCGGCCATCTAGAGTGGGTGACTGACAACCACCAACGATAGCTTCGTAACATGTTACATAACCATCATTTATCAAAACTACTTTAAACGGTTCAAACGGGCGCTAAACTCGAAATCAGCCCCAAAAAACACACTTGTAAGTGGAAGCAAATAAAACTCAAAAAAGTTAACCAAGGTCATCCATATTCGAATCAGGGCCAATTTGTTTCAGAATAGGTGTAAAATTCATTAACTCGAGGTCACTGGAAGTTTCGTTGCAATATACTCCTTTTTGCGCGTCTTTTTAGGAAAGCCCCAGAGGGATCCACCATCTGACCCCATTTCCCCTATGCAGGCAGGTCCGAGGTAGAGATTGCAATCCCGGAACGTTTTGCCAATCCCGGGATACCGAAAGTTTTTATTTCGGGATCCCGGGATCCCGGGATCCCGGTCTTGACGTCGTAAGAGTGATTTCCTAATGACATATTTTGCGTCTTTTAGCTTACCACAAACAAAGAGGCAACCAAAAGCCATCCTTCAACCATGTCATTTGCATTAAAAACGATTGAATTTGCGAAGAAAACGTTTCGATTTGATTAGCATTAGGTATTCCCAATTGGCCTTTATAAAACTTTGCGTGGACCAGTACGTTTACTAGACGGGTTCCGGTACAACCACGCCTCACTCACTCTTCGTCTACGCTACTCGTAGTTAGCGCGACAGTTTAAGCCATTGCTGGTAGGTCTGTCTACTTAAAAACTCGCAACCAGTGTACGCCAAATTTGGCAGCTCCCTATTTCACAATGTTTTCAAGACGTCCCTTGGTCACTTCACCTCCTTCCGGTTCCGCTTTCATCACTAATGTCTCTCATAATTTGCTCGAAAGTCGCTTTGAGAGCGCTTGAGAGTCACTGACTGGGAGAGCTCTACTCTACCGTCTTCAACGTCTGAATCAGTGAGCTCTGCCGTCACTTGCGTGACATCTGTGACATCTCTCTGCGACACGAGCTCAAAGACTGTCTTGATGACCTCTTTTATTCCGGTTACGGACGGGCAAGTCAGAATCGCTGAACGATCTGTGATCATGATAAAGATGTTGCAGCACTGATGCTACAACTTTTTTTTTTGGCGTTCGGGACCATTTTTCGTACATACAAATTTAAGCGGCTTAACCGCTGTGGGTGATACCCGGCAGCTACCAACACGGTCGATTGTGGACGGCCAATACGGGGTGCCAGCTAGATAGTTTATCTGCTTTATGTCACGCAGCACCACGAACAGTGTAAACAAGATTCGTGCAGCGGCTGCATTCTTTTTTTATGGTGAAAAAACTGATTTTTTCGGGATCCCGTGATTAGCGGAATTTCGGGATCGGGATCGGGATTAAAATCCCGCCGGGATCCCGGGATCCCGATCCCGGGATTGCAATCTCTAGTCCGAGGGTAGCAGGGCTGAGGCTAGCCAGGTACCTCGTAGTTACTGATACGTCATCCGACGAATCGACTGCAACCATTACTTTGACAATCAGACGAACGCTTGGGTCAGTTTTGACGCGCTCGCTCATTTGAGGGACAAAAAGGGACTAAAATCATATTGTCATGCTGATGTTCTAGCCCACAGCTTATTGACCTATAAGCAATAGGGACTAGGGAGCTCTTGAAGCGATTCTGAATCTGACGTTGTATTTGTTGATGTTGCTGACGCTAACTTCCCTGACATGATAGCTAAAAAAAAAAGCATATTCAGCATCGCCAAAAGTTGGGGGGGGGGGGGTGGTCGACCCCCCCGGTTCTGACGAGTGGGGGGGTCGCGACCCCCCGACCCCCCCCCCCCCGTCGGCGACGCCCCTGCACTGTTGACTGCAGATCTCCCCCATTTTGTTTCGTTTCCTTGCGCCAGCCGCCCCGCTAGCCGGCGCCAGGGGCGCCCCAGGCGCTGGTCACATGACCTGACCCAAGCCAGAGTCGGAGTCTGGTGTCGGGACTCCGGGCCGTAGCGGCGAAACGGCGCATTCCCGTTCAGGCAGCCGGTGGTGGAGACTGGAGAGGCTGCTGGTTAGGTGAGGTCCCGCTGATTTGATTATAGGCAAGCTCCATTCGGTTGCTTAGTTATAATTTCCTATTCAAAAAGTTAGATTTCGTGTCGAAAGGCATAATCTAATAATGGTTCACCTCTACCGCTCAAAAGTGTTTCTTATCCTTAACCCGCGACCGCCTGGGGGGGGGGGGGTCGGATCCGACCCCCCCTCCGTTTTTCTTGAATAACTCATGAACCACTTTCGCTATCTACTTGAAACTTAGCATACCTTCTCCCCCATCAATTTGACGTCTCCTGTGCAATTTTTAAGAAAAAAATTCCAATTTTTTTAGATATATCGATTTAAGTGATGTAACTACATGGCGTTTTTAGTCAAAAAGTGGTAAATGTTTAAAAAATCGCCAAAAATCAGGGTTTGAAGCAAATTGCAAATTAAGGACATGAAAAGACGCAGCTCAACGAGTTCTTGAACATGGCTATCTCGGATTTTCCATAAAATGCGTTTTTTACCCCTAAAAATTCAAAAAACTATATTTTTTGGAAAACAGCTAAGAAAATCCAAAATTTTGGGAATTTCCCAAAAACCGGAATATATGTTGTAGAGCTTTATTAGAACATTAAATGCCCCAAATTTCAACTTTCTATCTTCATTTTTTACCCCCAAATTGTAAAAAATAGCTCCAACATGCATATTGCATAGGGCATGGTGACGTCATAAGCATTTTCGTGAATTAGAGGCACTTCTGAACATCGCATGTAAAAACAAATGGCACCACTAGATTTCTGGGACAAAGCTCGTCTAGAAAAGTGCATTTTTATGTCAAAAATAAAAAGTTGAAAAATTGACTTTTTTCTTAGCCCTCGTTTAGTTATGTATAGTATAAACGATTTTTTATGCTTTCAATGCACACTTATCACCAGCACAGTGACTTGGGGTCACATATAACCATTATTACCATCGGATTCGGCGTGAAAAATAAGCCATAAAACATGTGTCGCACGCCCATGTAGCAGAAAGTGAAAACCGTGACCTTTCGTGACCTGACCTGACCTTGACCCGTGCTTAGTATGACCCCTATACGCACATGGTACCTTCATTAGGCCTTTGAGGTCATTTATGGTGAGTTTCGAGCAGCAGCTATCGATTCCGCTGTCCGTAAGCCGATTCATGCAAAACCCCTGAATTTGACCTTTGACCTGACCTTGACCCGAAAGTTGACCTCAATCTTAAAATCTTAAGAGTGCTTTGGGAAGGTCTCGTAGAGACCTTTCGAACGCCGCCTCGCGGGGCTCGATACGACCATTGGTTCTCGAGATAACAGGGGGGTCGGATCCGACCCCCCCCAGGCTGTCGTGGGTACGGAAATAGCCCAGGCGGTGCCGGGTTAAAAAGCTGACGCCCACTCAAGTTCCCAATGGTTACCGCTTGTTACCCTTCTAAAAGAAAATATCTTGGATGTCACCCTCACTAAACGGTTGAAAGAGCTGAGCTTGGTAACCGTGTTCTATGTAGAGCGCCTTTGATTCATCTTATAGTCTACCCACTGACCCTGCGTGGTCAGTGGGTAGGTGAATGTAATCGCGGCTACAGGCCTGAACGCGGGTAATTTAGAAACTTCTGGCCAAGGCTCGAGTGTATTTATTATTTTGATTAAACCCTGTTTATCTTGCACGATCTTGCTGCATAACATGGACATTGGACAAGTAACGAGGATTTTTCAATAAAATAACTTCACAATTGGCAACTGGCAACACAACACATACTTCACGTACACACATACACATCACACCAGTCTATGTCCTGAAAAGCTCGAGCGCAGACGCATTCATTTCGGGACATCACCATTTCACGCATACACAATTCCCGCAACAACGCTAGGCAGCAGGTTACCTGACACCCTAAGCACTTGCGCTAAAACTACAATAAATACACTAGGCACGCGAGCACGATTCCTAGCGAGACGTTTGCTCCGTGCCATCACGCTCCTATGGGCTACGGCTGTGGCACATGTTTGAACGGGCTGCTAGGAGCTCGGTAGCCCGGAGGCCCTGACTTCCACCTAACGGTCTTTGGCATCCCACACCGGATTGGCAGCACCGCGCCCGGGGAGGCTAATCCCGCGCTAGGCGACCGACTATTCCTCTACCAATTTGAGCATGGAGATCACGATGAGGCGGCTGTCGACAAGTCCTGACACCTCTTAGGGGCTGGCGCTGACAAGTGACACCGCCGGGGTTAGCACTGACACCACCAGCACTGTCGTCGACAACGCCAGGAGCTGACGCTGACAGTCTGTAGCCAGCGTAGTCGGCTATTCAGGTCAAGTCTGATCACAGTCCTGTCAGTAACTTTTCCCTCCACTCTTCAACCTCGTCTTCTTCGTGTATCGAAGAAAGAGTTGTTATCGTCGAGGTCGAAGAGGGAAGTGTCAGTTGTGCCCGCCTGTTTCGTGGAAGCTGCTGTTGTGGCCGTGGGACCCGAATCGAAGAAAGAGTTATTATCATCAGCGTCAAAAAGAGCAGAGTCTGGTTCTGAGTCTTCGCTAGAAGGATCACCTGCGCTGTCAGTATCTGAATCAAAGAAGGAATTATTGTCGTCGAGGCCTGCCGAGGAATCGTCATCGAGGTTTTCGTTTTCCAGTTTGAGCCCGTTCTGCCCGGCTGTTCCGCCGTCGCCGCCCAGCAGTTCCTGCAGCTCAGCTGCCGCAGCCGTCGGAGCCGATGGGGCCGACGGAGACTCTTCCTCAGCGCCCGGCTCTGACGACAGACCGAACAGCGCCAGTGTGTCGGCGTCGACATCGGCCAGAGGATCGGCAGCTCCGGACGAGCTGGGACTCGCTGGGCCGGCAGCCGGGACGGACGCCTCGCTGGCGGCGTTTCTGCCCGTGCCAACATCTTCCAGCATGTCGCTCATCCCGGCTGAAGTGAGACCAAACATGGCCAGGGTCTCTTCGTCGAGATCGGCAAGCGGGTCGTTGGCACTGCTCGATCCACCTGCGGCGGCTGGCGCTGCTGCAGCCGGTGCCGGCGTGGCCGCATCCGTGTCGCTGCCGCCAGACTCGCCCGTCAGACCGAAGAGAGCCAGGGTATCGGCATCAAGGCCAGCCAACGGGTCATTGGCACCACTGGAGCCTCCAGCTGCTGCGGCAGATGCCGGCGTGGTAGCGTCGGTGTCACTTCCACCCGACTCTCCAGTCAGACCGAACAGAGCCAATGTTTCGGCGTCGAGACCGGCCAGTGGGTTGTCGTCATCTGTCGCAGAGCTGTTCGAGCCGTCCACGCCGTCCAGGCCCAGCGAGGCCAAGGTCTCCGGGTCGATGTCATCCGTGTTGTTGAAGCTGCCGCTCGACGAGCTGTCGTCATCGTCAAACAACACGGAGAGGAGGGAGCCGAGGCCGCCACCGTCGTCTCCGCTGTCTGCGCCAAGGACAGAGTCCAGCAGACTGCTGAAGTCTGTACCGTTCGCCTTTGGCTCCGGGTCGGGGAACACGATGCCCGGGTCACGCGCGTACACGTCGCCGTTGATGGTATCGGCCAGGATCGAGTTGATGTCGACTTCGCGGATCTGCTTGGCGATGGCGTCACGGGCGTCGCGAGCCACCATTCGTGCCAGCAGCCGCTTGGTGGTGTCAGAGTTGATCTGTTTGTCAGCGAGATTGTTGGCAACCAGCTCCAGAGGGCCGAGACCGGCCAGCTTCACATCGATTTTCCTGAAGAGCACAGATAAAATGATGGGTCAGATACGAGTTGAACCACGTGCACGTTCCAGACATGAAAACGTGTTTTGAACGATCGCTAAGGATACGGTCAATGAAAGCCGCACTGATAAAAAACACTTCGACGAGCTAGATGAAATGCACTTTGGCTACCCTCTATAGAACGAAACGACAGTCGCAAGACACGAGGGTGTCTAAACAGGATTGCTGCTCTTACCCGATGTGCAGGACATCCAGTCCAGTCAGGTAGATATCCATGTATTCGGCGTCTAGCTGCACCTGAACTCGCAGCTTGATATGCGAGATGAAAGTCCACAGAGTGAACTTCACCGGTCGGTTGAGGACCACCAGCTGCGCCTTGTACGCCGCCTGGTGGCAGAGAGAGTAACGTTAGTTGCGGATAACACCCACTAGGTGACAGGGTGGCGCCACCGAGACCGGCAGTGGTCTCAGCGCACAGCAGCATATGTCGGCTCACGGCTCCTACACTCCGTAAAAGGAGGTGACTGCACCAAAATCAGCTTCCATTAGCATAACGGACCATACCCAGGGCAAGAAGAAATCTCCATGATAGAACGAACTACGGGCACCATCTTGAGGTTCGATGCAACCGACCATAATAGCGATATTTAAACGGTGATCGTCTCATTTTGGGTCAAGTTCATTTTATATACCTAAATGAAATCAAAGTACGAAACCGTTGAACCACTTAAAAACGCTTATCTCCAGCTTCCAACACCAGCAAGGGGTATAAGAGGTCATACCTTTAGATTGAAGACAACAGCCTCGATGGTGAAGGTAAAGTACTCCTTGTGGCGCGAGATGAGCGTGTCACCCACGCGCCGTAGGTTGTGGGCTCCGAACAGGTGGCCCTTGAACAGCTGGATACCCGTCCGCACCCACCACGTGAACAGAATCTGTGGCAAAGAAAGATTCAGAGTCAGATGGATCAACAATCACCCGGGCTAAATCAGGGGAAATCCAAAATTGGACAAACCAGTACCCAATTCAACAAGCCAATGCCAAACGAGACAGGCCCTGGGTTAAATGCGAGAAACATATGGTCAAGATTTCCAGAACCTGAGTTATGGAGGACAACGACACGAGTAAGACCTTTAGGTACTAATCATACGTGACAAGCCATAAAAGTTATGATCGAAAAGAGATATCAGATACAGCGAAGTAATTTAGAACACATCAGAGACCATCTCCAGCCGTAAAGCTCTCCTGAGGTATGGAGAACCAGGTGGCTCCGGTCCGGTTACCTTTTTGGTGGCCATGATGTCCTGTGCGGGCAGACCGATCCTCCTTCCGTACAGGAAGTGGGAGAGCCGGCGCATGACGCGGTCGACCAGGTGGTTGTTGGTGATGGTCGGGATGTAGTCCTTGTAGTAGGGACTACCCGAGTCATCATCGAACCTGCAAACGATAAGGAGACACACCAGACCTGGTCAGCGGCACGAAAATTTACATATGGTCGTAGCGAATAAGTAACTACGACAGGCATTCTCTCATTGGCACATCGAACATTCCGGTGATCACGATGGGAAGAGTTTTATTCCCGAGTTAGTCCAAAAAATCCCAAGAAAGCGCATTGGGGAGCTAATCCCGGCTCTAGCCATGATTATCAGCTACAGTGTTGCGCAACGTGAGAGCTTGAGAGATCTTCACTGCATTTCTGAGACCATGTCCTAGGTGACCTCTAAGTGAAAGTCGTGGGTGGGACTTACCCGAGGTAGATAGCAACGAAAGTCGGCAGGTAACTTCTCCACTGGAAATCTTTGAGGAATCTGTTTCCTTGCATGACCAGCGAGGGAAGACGTTCCTCACGGAATGCCTTGATGAAGTTTCTCAGGAAGTCACCTGACATGCCGTCGAGGAACTGTTGGGCAATCTCGCCGAAACCGGATTCCTCCAGGAAGCCTTCCAAGTTGATCTGTGTGCAACGTTCATTCAGGTTATAAGATTAAAAAGTTAATTACTGTTTACAATAAACACTGCCTTTAAAACGGCTCTTGTAAAAGTGGTGGTAAAAGCGGTCTTCATGATCCCTTGTCCCATCGGAACGGAAAGTTTCGTCAATCAGTAGATTGGCTGCTAAGCTTCCCTATAAAACACAGGCTCCTAACCTGTTGATGCTGTTTTTTATGTTTCTAACCCGTTACAACCACCCTAACCCTACTGACCGTAGTGTTCGCGATGGCCAGCGTGAAGTCTACCCGGGTGATATGCAGACGGTCATAGTAGAGTCGCGCCTGCATAATCACCTTGACGTCGACGTCGATCAGCTTCAGACTGGGGGCAGAACGGATGGCGTTGGTAAAGGCGATGTCGCACAACATCAACCGGAGACGAGGATGACGGCAACCATTGTCGAAAAAGAAGGGACAAATCGACATGATACTGCGGTGCACCCACGCCCTTGCATGCACCGTCGGAGATCTCGACTACTCTGTCGGACAATCTTAGCCATAAAAACTACGTCTCCTTCGTTCCAATATTTTACCCATCGCTAGCACGGAAATGGCAATCAGACGGGTACCGCTGCTTAGTAAGGGGCCCGGAACAAGTGCAACCGAACTCTGGGGTCTAGACACAGTAGCGGTCAGAGTGTCTTACGTGAGCGGTCCGGCGCCGGTGAGCGGGAACAGGCCGCTGAAGGAGCCGTCCAGGCTGTAGTTGGCGTCCAGGGTGACCAGCGGCAGCCGCAGGTCGGCCGCCACCGACAGGCCCGGCAGGTGGATGTCGATGTCCAGCAGCTGCAGGTCCTGCAGACCGCGCACCATGCCGTTCGTGATGTTACCCGCCAGCCTGAAACGGACCGGCGAGGGAGCTTTGTCAGTCAAGGATGCGGGAACTGACTGTAATTTGTAAATGTTATCTACGCCTGGCTAGGTGAAATATGTCATGTCAAGGCGAGAAGTGTCGAATTTGCAACCGACGACCGACTTTCGAGAACTACAGCAACTTTAGAGATCATCGATATATATCTACATCTTACAAAACGATAACTGAAGCTAAATTAAATACTTGCTGCTCTTGTGAAAATCATCCATCATCAACAGCAGCATTAATATCTAAACCACTCGGTCCAAGAAGACTCAGTCCCAGCCACTCACTCGACGACGTCCATGGTGAAGTTGACCGGCATGTCTGGGACGGCCAGCGGGTCGAGCGGGCCCACGCCGAACTGCGGCAGACCGTTGAGCGCCACCTGACGCAGCAGGTGGCGCCGGGACAGGATCGTGTGCCGAGAGAAGGCCGAGATCTCCTCCGGCGGTAGGATCCCGCGGATCAGCTCCGGATCCAGCGCTGAGGGTGCGGAGGACACGGGTCAGCGGATACTGTGGATACCACGGATACTGTGGTCAGCGGCTAAGCTCCGGGTCCAGCGCTGAGGGTACGGAGGACACGGGTCAGCGGATACTGTGGATACCACGGATGCTGCGGTCAGCGCCTAAGCTCCGGATCCAGGTTTGAGGGTACGGAGGACACACGTCAGCGGATACTGTGGATACCACGGATACTGCAGTCAGCGGCTAAGCTCTAGGTACAGCTATGACGGTACAGAGGGCGTGGTTTCAGCGGTACAGCGGATGCGATGGTCGCCGCGTGACAAATATGTAAGCATGACATAATATGATAAGTAGGCATATCGGTAAACATTACCTGGAACACATGGAACACGCGCTCATGAGCATGGCATAGTGCAACTGCACACGTGAGCACTGCATGGTGCAAGGTCGAGCGTGTGTGATCACTCATGGTGCACCACCTTTCCCATAGCCCGAACACGCAGCGCCTCAGTCCTTTGGCACGGGCCGAAGGCTCAGACAAGGACGACGTTCAAGATGCGAAGGATATCTCTAAATGTGACCCTAGATCCTGCGAAACGAGTAGGTACCCAAAACACGGATGCGATTAAACGGACCCCTTCATGCAAGTGTTTCGGCCACACACGTGACCCTGCAGACCCTGCAACACAGGTGTCCAACAGCAAATGTGACCTTGCAACACGAGTGACCTAGCCATATACATTACCCTAACCCTGCAACACAAGTGACCCGACAGCACACGTGACCCGGTCACACAGGATGACACTCTGTGAAACACTCAGGTTGGTCGTCTTGCCTCCTGCAGTGCCGTCTCCGATAGTCGGGTTATCCCCAAAACCGTCGGTCGTCTCCATCGTTACGTCGTTTGCATCAGCTTTGGAGCACAGGTTATGCAATATTAACAGGGCATATTGCTACTAAGAAAGGGATACTTGATCGGTTAACCCGCGCCCTGCTGGGGGGGGGGGGTGTTTGAACACCACCCCTTGTGGTTTTTGGTACACCTTATCGTACATCAATTCTACACATGTTGTGAAAATTTCAGACCAAGGTCATTCAAGGTCAGGTCACCAGGTCACTTGAAGTGACCTCACCTCATAAAAACTTTCAATGTCTGTCATAGCTACACCGAGTGACCGATCGCTTTGAAACTTTCAGCGATTGCTAAGAGCAATAGCATGTACAAAATGTTTATCTCACAATTTTGATATCGATGACCTAAGGTCAGGTCAATTTTGCGACCTCCCCATTTTAAGTCAATGGGAGAAAATTGAAATGCGCCTCTTTTGGATGAAAGACATTATAAACACTCCCAAACACCGAATTACAAGTGGTTTAGACACACTGAACTTAAAAATGGTGTCCGTGACCCTTGTTTATGCCCTGAGGTCATCTTAGGTCACGAATGGTATCTAACAGTTTTTCGCAAATAACTTTTGATAGAGGCATGCTAGAGCGATGAAAACGCCTTAGATGTGTTCAGCTCGACGATACGGATCGACTGATATGCAACATGACCCTTTCCGGTCAGGTCATGACCTTGACCTGAGGTCAAATTTTCAAGTTGACCTTTCAAGGTCAAGTTATAGTTCATTCGATGCGTCTTGACGAGAGGAACACGATGCCGGTAAAAGTAAGCTCGTACAAGGCTTGGGTCAAAAGTTATTGCAGAAAAACTGTTTTAAAAAAATCAGCTATTTTTGCAGTTTTTGCCCCCTGCAGGCAAAACCGTTGACGTTAGGTCAAATCTGAGAGAATTACTCAGAAAGGGCGTTAATAGGGCTATCGAATGCGCTTTTCCGCGGCGCTGTAGCTCTATTGGTTCCCGAGTTATGCGTTGGCTTCTTGGAAATTTTCGACATTCGACCTGGAAATCGGCGAAATTTTGCCTTCAATGACCTCTGGTGACCTGACCTTTGACCTGACCAAAAAATTGACCGAAGTGATTTCGTCATTATTTTTTACGCTCTTTCGAACGCCGCCTTCCGCGTATCGCTACGTGGCCCAGGAGCCGAGTTACAAGGGGGGGTGTTCAAACACCCCCCCCCCCAGCAGGGCGTGGAAATCCAGGACCCCCAGCAGGGCGCGGGTTAATTAGGATATATTGGGCCTTTTCTCTATCATGTAACCTATTTTCTATATTATGTAATTAGAGACGTCAACAGTGGATTAGACCGAATTGAGACAGCTTATCTTATTAGCCTGTTTGCTTAATTCTTAATTGCTCGTCTTTATTGTTTCGGCAACAGCGGATTATGCACACATAAAACAATATGACTGAATAAAATGCAAATTTGAAGACGGCAGGATCATCGTACAACAACTGGAGAGGCTTGGCACCTCTCGGAACGTATTACAGTTTCAATGCGGAAGTTTATTGGTTTTGCACATGAAGATATAGCTGCATTTGAAAATGAAATTAAGATTAGCTTAAAAGAAATTAAAATACCAAGGCACCTTTGGTGTATTGCTCTTTTGCTGCACGACCTATTCGATAAATTTTAGTTGATCGATGTATGTAGTTCAGTTACCTAATCTGAATTCATTCAGATTCCCACATATCTCGTCAAAGTCACCGATTTCGCTGGGTTGTAAAGAGACTAGGTATATCTGAGCCGCAAGCAAATAGCGAGCACCGAAACGGCTCCAACCGCGCTCTCACTGTTCTAATGGGGTTTATGTGTCGTGCGATATACTTGCTTACATTATCCTAAGTGATCGCTGCACTTATTCAATTTCAATGCAATACTTACGATTTATATTTCCACTGAACCTATCCTGATTCTGAAGAGAAGATCCGATCTCTCAGTTGGATTGTCGCGTGTCTGTGTGATATAAGGAACACACCATCTACTTTTAAAGTTTATGACTGTCGTGTTGCAAGGCCCGTGTTGGTATTGCTGAATGAAATGTTTTACGACCGGATTAACCAGATGCACAGCTGAGTGAAGGCCAAATTGCTCGGAAATTATCGCACACGTGCTTCCTACTTTCCACGTCCAAATCATTGCAGAGTCTGAGAGAACACAATAGCTCTGTCTGATGCAGAATTTGCTCTATGATTAGTCGGCGAAAGAGGTGATTGCGTTTACCCTTAGCATGCCTGCACAGAGCGAATGGTGCTCGCATACCGCCCAGAGCGGACACGAAGAGAAAGTGGTGCAGAGTGGCCGCCAGTCCTCTCTGCAAATCTGCCGCGCCCCGGAGGCCCTAGGTCATTACCATTCCTGGCGGTAGGCCGGCCCACGCGGCGCGAGCGGCGCACCACACTCCTGCTGGGACCTATAGTGATCGAGTGCCGGTGGGAAGTGCCACCTCAATCAGAGGTTCACAGTTGCCGGCACAGCGGGGTTGCGAAGGGCAGCAAAGGGCCGTGGTTGGTGACCCACCCGGGCTGCAGAGAGCATCCTAAAATGGCGCCGATACTGGTCTGTTCTCTGCATTGTGTATTCTCTGTATTAGTGTCTACAGCGACTGCTTCCTGTATAAGGGCGGCATCATTGCTAGCATGACGGCGGCTGATAGTTCCTGTTCTGCGGCTGAGCCCCGGCACGCACCAGCGACCACTCCTATCCCGACCATACCCGGTGACCCAGTCAGAGCGCCACACCGCTCTCCTCCGCAGCAGCGCGACCGACCGTTAACAGCGAATCACACCGCCAACGGCAGGGCTGTGAGCACGAGCTGCGCCGTCTCACCGCTCATCCGCAGCATCCGTGCGTCGGGTCGACCCGTTAGCTGAGTGCCCCGCTCGGCGGCCTCCACTGGCCTGGAATGTGCCAGTCTCCAGGGCGGGTCAGCCAGCCGTTTTGGGAGGACAGAGCAGGAGGGAGAGGACTGACGCCCTCATCTGGTCCTGTGACCTAGTTAGTTGTCGAAAGGTGTCTTCTTTTCTCCCCAGCTGCTTCGTTAGCTTTTCTACCTGAGCTACCAATCTGAACTGGGATGCCCTCTTCTGATCGACCCCTCTTCAAATTGACTAATCTGTCAGCCTTTCCCTCTGCCTGCTTTGCTCCCCGTCATTCAAACCCTTTATGTGCCGGAAGCTGCAGCTCCACGTGCCCCAGCCCTATGTGCCTGAAGCTCTGCGGTGCGCAGGCACTGACCGCCGGACCGCAGCGACCTGCACCAGCTGCCGGCTGCCGGCGGCTTCATTCAGCGTAGATGCGCGTCATGCTGGTCACGCTCTGGGCCGACTACCCGGTGCGCCGCCAGTGGCGCACTCGCCGTTCCGTGCTTCTATCCTCAGGATACTGAAATCCTTCTCCTCCACGCCGCAACCCCCTCCGGGCTGGACAGGCAACTTTATCTCATGCGGGCTGCTCCCTTGGAGCGGCACCGCTGCTCCCGAGGGAGCGCACCCCGTAGCCGGGTGCAGTGAGTGCCTTGGGGCTGGGTGGCCTGTCCACTGGACGGGCTCAGCCCCGGCGACTCACTAGGGTGCCTGCCCAGACCAATGTCTCCCCCTAATTCCTATCATCCTTCCGGCTCTGCAATGGTCTTGTCGACCGAAAGGGCCTAACCCAACAAAACAAACAAAACAAACAAACCAGTGGCGCGCGTGTGTGTGTGGGACCGCCGGTCTGAATGGACCCTGGCAGGAGCAGCACGCGTCGCCGCCCGCAGTCGCACCTGCTGAACGAGCCCCGTCGCCGCTGGGCTTTCAACAATAGACAGGTGTTGGATGTCTGTGATACTTCTCGATCAACAGATGTGGGTAAACTGAAAAGGATACCAAAGAAAGCCCGGGAGATACCGGTGAATGAGTTCATCAGAGACCCCAGGACGGCGACAGGAGAGACAGACGACAGGAGTGGATATTTTCGGACAATGTAGTGGATAATCACACGTCTGCTGATAAATATTCGTGGGTGTCAAAACTGGATATTCATGGAAGTGAAGTGGAGGTGTCTAAATATTCACGGAAGGTGAAGTTGGCATTCTTGGACGCCCCTGTTAATCAACAAAAATAACATTTTTACTGAAGACAATGGTGGAATTATTCACGGACAGTGGCTGCAGATATAATCCGACTCCTGTAGTGATATTCACGGTCAGTGACGGCGGTTACTCACGCGGCAGGTGAAGCGCGCCCTGACGCAGACTGAGACCCCGCAGTTTGGCGGAGACGCCGGGGTTCTGGACCACCAGCGCCACCATCACCAGCACCACGAGTGGCCTCATCAGACAGCTGCCGGCTGAGGGACAAACGGGAAACCAACGTTATAGATGGAGGGCCATAATACCCTCTCAGCAACTCGCCGTCTACTTTCAGCTACGAATATGCTTCATGCTAAAATAAGAACAGAACACTAGCCATGGAAACAGCACAAAAACGATATATAAGGGTTCCGCGCTACTACACACACACAAAAATACGGCATCTTCATTTTACGTATTAAAAGTTTCAATAACTTGGTTATGCGATTAAGCTGAGACGGTGCATTGAGACGTCACAACTGATTTTCATCGGGACAGAGTAGATTAACAACAAAATGTTAACTCCGAGTGGTGAACTGCGAATGGCACGTTGGCAGTTGGATAGCTGAGCATGGCTGAGCCTCCAAGTCATGCGAATGGCACGTTCATATAGAGAGAGCTCTCAGTTCTAGGGCAATGTGCCACGTTCCGTGGGAACTGTCATATGATCGTTCGGTACAAACACGCGTAGGAGAGTAACTGGACATTTTTAAAATGGCGAATATTTTCCCCCAGACGCTTGCCTGACCTTTTTTCATTCATCAATTTTCAAGCCGTTGTTCTGTTTCGACATCTCGACTGGCACGGTTTCGGGTATACATACAATGCTAGGCAATCAATTAAAAAAAGTACAAACCCACAGACAGTACGGTTGATTGTGTACGAAAATGCACTATCCTACTACCCTGGAGAAGCCCGTCTATCAGTCAGCAACCCTGGAGGTCACTGTCCCTCGTTCGTCGCCCTTCCATTACCAGCCAGTCCACGGTCCATCTTCCGCCCCCGGCGAGGGCACCTGTCGCGATTTGTCCTTGACAAGGCGCCAACTGCTCCAGCCCATTCACCTCCCTTCCTCACTCTCCCCCTCTTCCAGCGCCAGCCCGCTGCTGGAATCCCACCTGCCCTTCTGGAAGCCTAAGAGTCCAGTCCTTCCACCAGTGCGTTTCTAATCCGCAGAGCTTTCCCTTTCACCGCTAAATATGTTGACGCGCAGTGCGGGGCCATCGCAGGGGCATATCGGAGTGTGATCAGTCGTCTCGGGACAAGGCCGAAGCGCCTTCGAACCTGACTGGCGCCGACTCTCCGGGATGACGGAACCTCTCCCCGTGATGTTGTGGTGATTGGTGAGCCACCCGGGTGGGTCCGGCGACGGGCGGTCATTGTCCGTGGTGGTGAAGGCCTAATCCAGGCCCTGGGTGGCCGGACGAAAACATAGTAGCTAAGTGACGCGTCCGCTGCCTTCGAGGGAAGGCCAACGGATTAGCTAAAGTCGCGTAACGTCTGAATACCTTCTATGACCAGCCTGTTACTGAACGGCCTAATGATGATGAATTGATGAGGCCGCAAAACGGTGACAGGCAGCAGCTCCGTTTTAATGAGCGATACACGAGCAAACGGTCAAGTGGACAAAACGGGCGACCAACTGGGCACCACAGACGGCTAAACGGGACTAAACGGACTGCTCAACGGGTCAAGCAAACGGCTAAAGACAACAGCCAAACAGAAGGAGAATTCCGTCAAACAGGCATGATGGTTATACCGCGGATAATAAAAAAACGGCATAGCTTAAGTTGCTCGGCTTATGTCACCTGGATTGATAACGTTGACTGAGCTCCAAATAGACGTTCTCGAGGCATTGCTTCACTTCATCATTCATCTTTGTAACACTCAGTGAAGGGATGAATGAATTACTGCTCATCCGGTATTACGCAGCCACAATTAATGACAATAATTACTGGGCAATAATGACCTACATGTCAATTAAAAATTGTATAAGCATGCGTTAATGAAATTCAACTAAGAAAATGAGGTGGGTGGTTACGTAATAATCTGCTGCAGGAGCCGCACCAAACTGTGACGCTGAGGGTGCTCCATCCAGTGTAAGCACACGTGTGACGCCGGTTCTAACCCGGTTTCGGGCACCACCCACCACTTTCCAATATAATCGAGCCGGACGTCCGGCCGTGCTACATTATTGAAACCGCTTCCTTGGTTGTACTGGACTCGGGAGATTACAATAAGCCACGTTTTGAGCATTTTCGCACTGGATGCCCCACTACAGTTGGACGTCTTTACAATTTCTTTACGTCTTAACCCTCGCCCGCACATGCTATTTTCCCATCCTAGAACGCACATGGGGGGGGGGGGTTGCCACCCCCCGCGCCATTTCGTTCCTGTTGGAGATAGAGCTTAGCAGTAAAGACCAAAAAGATTCTTTGGGAAGAGACGAATCCAATGATACCCAGTTTTACCTTCTCAGGTCAGTCATTGACCTTCCAGGTCAGGTCAAACTAAAAAATATTGCTGTTTTGGGTCACCGTTGGACATCAAGTGCGCTGCTTATCAAATACCGATGACGATGCTGTTTTCTGGTGCCAAGCCAGCTAGAACCTCTTTGTCACACTACCCGACCAGAATTTTGCTGCTGAGGTCATTTCAGGTCAAGTTAGGTCAAGGTCAATTATATGTGTTTGTATGTCTGTGTGTGTCTGTGTGTATACTGATGTGTGCACCGATTGTTTTTGGGTCCATATTACATGAAATCATGATCTGAGAAGCTTTTACCAAAAATGCAGTCAAAAAACTTCACAAAAAGTAAATTCAGCTTGCCTAAAACGCAATTATCTTAGATGACCTAGGTTGACCTTGACCCTGACCTTGACCCCTGTACATCGTCGAACAACATGTTCCATGATAGGTGGGAGGTAAGACTGGCAAAAAAGGCCGAAATCAGGGTGTCAAAAGCTCACAATGGCCCATGGCAAGTGAAAGATGTTGATAATTGGCCATTTGGGTCATGACATGACCTGAAAAAACAAGGTCATATCTCCGAAACCAAAAATCACAGAAACTTGAAATTTTCAGTGGACATCAAGAAAGGATAGAGGAGCAGCTATACGAAAAATCAGCCTTCTAGCTCTAAAAATGTTGAGTGCAGAGCAGAAAGACTACCTGGGGGGGGGCGGGGGTGGCAACCATCCCCCCCCCCATGTGCGGGCGACGGTTAACGTCTTTAAGTTCTCGCCTCTCACGATACCTACATGGAAATTAATTAGAGTTCCGCATCTTCATAAGCCAAAAGTTGCGATCAAAATTGTTGTTTTAGGCTCAATAAATTAGATTTGAAAAATGGACATCAAAATTGACGTCGAATGACCAGGCATGGTAATCTTTGTGGCGACTGACATTACAAACGGCTCAAAAACAAACTTATTCATCATGTGCAGTGGACCTTACCTACGTATAACTTGCCACTTAGAGATACGGATACAGAAACTGAGATACGGAAAGCGAGATAAGATGGTTACGAATTACGATAAGCTGAGATAGAAAGAGAAGCAGAATTGATCGTTCAAGTACCTACAAACATATACATTATGCATACCAGTATAGCGCCTTTTGGGGCGACTAACGGAGCGAGCGAGGGGGTGAGTCTTGCACGTGCGAAATTTCGAGGGGGTACCTCCAACTGACTTGTGCACGGCACCCTACTGACCGGTTTCTAGCGATGTGCCAAATTTGAGCACAATCGGCCCAGCCGTTCTCGAGATCTGGGAGCGGCACCCTGCACGTGCGCACGTGCAAAATGGGTCCCAACTGACTTGTGCACGGCACCCTACTAACTGGTCCCTAACCGTGTACCAAATTTGAGCGCAATCGGTCGAGCCGTACTCGAGATCTGGAAACGACCCCTGCACGTGCGCACGTGCAGCAGCACCCCAACTCTGGCACATGGATATGCAGTGCCTAGTGGGTGCCTACCTACATGCCAACTTTCAGCGCAATCGGCCAAGTAATTACCGAGATATTGCAACAATTACAAAACTGACACCTCTTCGTTTTGCACGTGGCACGTGCATAAGGGGTCACCCAAATGCATCGGGAATAGTCCAATACTTGGTAGAAGGAATGAAGCTACCCTACAAAAATTACTCCGTGTAAATCGGTCAAGTGGTTGCTGAGATATAAGCCTCGCAAAAGCGTCCGCACGGCCGGCCGGCCGGCCGGCCGCTCATACTCAGAAATTTCCGTTAATCTAAGGAAAGACTACGCTCGCTTCGCTCGCTCCGTAATCACTGCACAGGATTGGACTATTGTCGTGTGGGCTCTTACCTGTCATTATACACCCAGCTCTCGACATTGTGGCAGCAGCGGGCAGACCGTAGACGGTAGTTTACAGACGGCAGACGGCAGGCGGTAGACTTCAGCAGCTGTATTGCCGGGTAGCCGGCAATGGCAGTGATAACAGCAGCGGCAGAGTCGGAGCCGAGCAGTGGCAGTGGCAGCGGCAGCGGTAGTAACAGTGCCGGGCAGACGGCAGATTACAGACGACAGCAGCACTGGCAGTGCCGGGCAGACGGCCGGGTCGGTGGAGCCGCGCTGTTCACCCGGATCGGTCGGCGACGGCAGACCGACGAGCCGGTGCCGTGTGACACATCACCGAGTCTGCGGCAGAGAATGGCGCACTGTGTTACACACACACCACAACTCGCGTCCTCTCACCGATGGCACTGTTAAGACCCACCCCAGACGGCGCGTCGTCTGTCACCTTCTGATGGGACGATTGGTGGCGAGACACGTGACCGGAGCGCTAAAACGGTCTGCAGTGGCCGTCCATTCAGCGGTCCCGTTACGCGACAGATTCGCCGCCCTTCCCCAAATGACTGACAGACGCGCGCCGTACCATCAGCACCTTCGCCTCAGCTCGTAACGATCGAAAACGGCGCGTTCCGTTTAGTGAAAAGAGGGCGAGTTTGGGAGAGGGCGAGTAGGGAGAGCGCGAGTTTGGGAGAGGGCGAGCGGGGCGGGGAGAGGGCGAGTGAGAAGAGCCGGGGAGACGGCGAGCCTGGTAACCGATTTACTGCAGGGCGACGGGCGATATCTAAAGCACCCGAGGCTGACAGGTCAGACTCGCTGGAGAGCTACCGGGCACCGATAGCCAGGCACGCAACTTGTCGCAAGAAAAACGATCGAAAAGACGGCTGCCGCGTGAGACGTGCAACGTTCGGCGGTGGCCTACACTTCGGGACGAAAATAAAAACAAGATTGCGTGCTCAGATGGGCGACCGAGTGTCAGGAGCCGGGATGCGGGGGTGGCTTTCGGCAGCGTTGGCTTTCACCGAGAGCTGCAGCTATCGGCGGGCAGGGGTCAGCGAGTCGGGTAGCGGACACCCAACGTAAAACAGTGTGTTGCACGATACAATCTTTCAGGATTGGTTTCTCTGCACGACTTTAGTTTTCTTTGGGGTTCCTACCGATGAAATACTTTTTGTTTTTCGTACTTTTGAAGGTTTTAGTATCGATATTATAATCAGTCTGATATTTTCACATTATTTTCTATGTAGAAAAAATAAACATTCATCAATATCGGGCTTTCGAATTCATATTGTCGCTCCCAACGCGCGTTTCGTGATCAAGGGCGGCCAAAACAGCTCTTATGACAACGGCCCAGGTGCTGTGCTGTCTCTCGTACATACAGGTTGTCTCTCGTACCACCTGTCGACCTTCACACGACTAGGGGTCGGAGATCAGCGCATACGCCTGGTTTGCTTTGTAAATGAAAGGAGAAAGTTCCTTTCTACCCAACTATTCATTTTCAGTCAAAAGTCGGCATCTTTATGTTGTTTGTGCGTGACAATGTGAGAATGTGTGAACCGGGGCTTTGGCTGATAATTGTGAAAATGGGTTGTTAAAAACAAAACACGTCGAAAACAAGCGATGAATAATGATGAACGTGCTGTCCGACCCATAGTGTTACGAAACTCAATTAAAAACTCCACCAAAGAACGCAGAGCTACAGGTAATCTTAACGGAGCATTCAGCTTAATGTAACATCAATTAAGAAAAAAAAACATGTAAACATCTACACCCAAATGCCAGAAATGCGATAGTCTCTAATTTGTATAATGCAGACGTCACCGCGCACGGCCCATTCCATCCGGATACCAGTCATACGTGCCTAGCCATCATGACTCTAAGCCAAGCTGCGGTCACACGGTCACGAGTTATCCGGTCGATCCTCAGTGAAAGTTCCCCCGAGAGCTGGTATGCACAATTAATCCACTGCGGCTCAGTGCGCCAGTTTCATTCCACCTTCCCGACTGCAATCCGCGTCACGAGGCATATGCGCGGGCGAGGCAAGCCCGTTGGAAGGAAGTTGCGTCACAGCTCCTGTACAGGCAGGAGAGGCGGGTTACTTGGCAGAAATGTTGAGAGTAAGTGGATTTGAAGCAGCTCGTCACCATGCCCAGGTCATAAAGGGAACGGATGAACTCGAAAGAAGTAGATTGGAAGTATTAGGTAATTCCAATGCCGATTACCCATCCTCCACATATCGGAGTTCATGGTCATTGGTCAATAGGAGAGCTGCGCCATCGTGGTACATTATCTTTGGAATCAAAACAGGTCATCCAGATCAGTCAGTCGGGTGCGACGTAGCACGTGACTTGACCAGTAAGGCGTAAAGTGGAACACGTGACATTGATGGCCGAATAGGTGGCGTAAAAGAAATGATATCCGTAGGCCGTACGGTGTACGATGTAACACATGGGCGTGGCTGTCAGTTGTATGCTGGGTGCTTCGTGTACTGTAACACGTGACTTGCTAATCCGGCGCCCTAACTACCGTGCCACGTGACCTAGCCAGCCGGGCGGCGCCGTGCATTTTATGTAACACGAGCTGTGCCTGCCGCGGCGCCAAGGCGTCACAGTCCGTCACGCGGCACCGTCACGTTACGGCACCATGGCACGAGTACGCAACACTGCCGGCGGATCTAACAACGGTGCCGGCCGCGGCGGCCCTTCCCTTCCCTCTCCCTATCGACACACTGGCCCTCTCTCAGCACGCGCATCTAGACCAAGTGCGTGTTTACTGGGCGGAGTGCTCATGAAATTTCACCAGCCCGGGAGAATTTCGGCATTGGAATTACAGGCGAGTGAGTTAGTGGCTATTTGCCGAGACTGGAGGTGGCTGGCCGTCCTCCGTGGGCGGCCGCCGCGGCTGACGCCCAGAATGGGGTCACGTGCGTCTCCGTCCGGCACCGGGGGCAGGTATGCGGCGCGTGGAGCCCACACGGCACGGGCGAACAGGATTTCCGACACGGCGCCCTCCGGCGGGGCGCGGAAGGGACACCACGCGCCGATACTCTGCAGAAGCGCCGCGGAAGATGGTGTGAATTGTGAAACGCACCTCTGTGCATTCCAATAGCGCTGCGAGCTGCATTCCGATAGCCTTGCATGCGACGTGCAGGTGCACATTTATCACACAGGGTTCGATCTTGGGTTCGATCATTACCTAACGTTATACCGGGCTCAAACCGGATGTAAAAGATAGTGGTTGTAGCTTCGACAGCGAAACTGACCCATAAAAATGTGAAAAAGACAGTCTTTATCGCAGACGCAGCTGAAGCAGGCCATAATAATGAATCGTGGGAGCGACAGCCACCAATTGAAAACAGAAAACCCAACTAGCTTGAAACCCAAACCGGCCACCTGAGGGCCTGTCGGAGCGACCACAGACTAGCTTGCTGGCGGACTTCCGTTACCAGTCTGGTAAATGGGTTACCAGACGCGTTGATTGGTTGATTATAGGATAGTCGTCACATCTTGTGAACCAAGTGCCAACCGGTACATTCCTGCCATTCCAAGCGATATGAAAGCGAAAGACCTCATGCCTTGTTCGAGTGACCGCTCAGAACTTGTCCGTCCTCCCGGCCACCTGGAGCGGTTTGATGTCACCCCACAAAGCCGCGGTGTCCGTTTCCCTGCCGCCGGAAGGTCGGTTGCCGAGTCCCGCCACTCCGACCTCCCGCACCTGCCGCGTCATCCCCCGCCGACGGCCTTGCGAAACCCGCCGCGGTCGGCCCTCCACCGGAACCGCGGCCCCCATACAGGTGCCGGGGTGTCGCCACGGCAGGACCAGTGCCGCGCCTGCCGGGACGGTTACCGACTGTAACGTCGGCTGGCTGGGAGAGATTAGCGGCAGGGACCGCCGAGTGACGGTCCGGCCCTGATCGGCGCCGGGTCATGCGGCGCCGGCCCTGAACCGGAGTCGTCTGCCCCGGCCGGTCAGTGAGGTGATCTCCGCCCGGGAGAAAGTTACGGATCCGGCAGCGGCGACCGGTGAGCCGGCGCGGTCGACGTCGTCGGTGCCGCTCGGACGGTGGCCATCGGTGGCCAGTGGAGCGCGCGCGGCAGCTGAGCGTCGGCCGACGACTGGCACACTGACACAGCCGGCCGAGCCGAGCCGAACTGGGACGACGACACAGCTGCCTATCACACAAATTAGGGCAAATTCCTGACGTGTTTTCTCAGCCAGGGGCGTGGTTAACGGACGTAGTGGATACTCAGGATCCGGTTCCGAACAGCGGACACTCATGAGTCTCATCAATCGCCGGACCTCGGTGATTCTCTTCGACGTAGAAAACGTTTGGCTGGTATGACACATTTGCTGGTAACGATGCATTTGACGGTTCTCATATTGTTGAGAAGCGGGGAGGTGACACGGTATTTATACATATATAGGCAATGTGAATGTCATCACCTCTCATTTCTTGCCGGAGCTCATCGCGCCTTAGCTGACCAGCATTCCTCCCAGGGGTCTTGTCCATCCGCTACGAAAGCATCACGCCGATGAAAGTGAGCGTGAGTTATGACACATCAGTCCTGCAAGAACGAATCTACATTTTTTATCTGACCTGAGCAGGCGACTCTCCGTCCAGCCAAAAAGATAAATATACAAATATACACCGTCCATCCGGGCTCTCGATCTGGTAGTGCGAGTGTTGCGCGATGGTGGGCGTGCAGCTGCGGTCACCGGGCGGCCTGTCCCCGATTTCACAGTCTCTGCGCAGCGCAGTGTCACTCCGCTCCTGCACGCTGCGCCGGTGGTCAGCAGCGGTCCGTTCCTAGTCGTACCCCGCCTTGTTGCTTCTCAGACTAGTCTGTCCCACGCGGCTGACTGGCTGATGTTCGCATCAACAGGCGACTGCTAACAATAATCCGTAACGGGCAGCCAAACATTCATATTACACAGTGGAGTGACATGTCAGTTTAGATCATGCAGCTTATGACATGAGAGGGATGATGTGCTTTGTTTCAGCACACCCTCAACTGTCTAAGTAAGTGTTCAGAGAACGGATTTGTTATCGCGCGCACGTCCATACGATAGCCTCAAATCACAGAGTTCTCCTGACCGACAAAGCTCATGAGATACAATGATACACTCTTGCACCGTCGAGACCCCGTGGAGATCCAATCCTACAGCGATGGAGGCAGATCTGGGGCTGCAGTGTTGGTACGTGACCCTGGTGACCTGCTTGTGCCGCTCGACTGGCCCCGGTGGCCCGTGACTGGCCCGGCCCAATCTGTTCCGGACGGGCGGCTCTGAGACTCTCAGATTCGGCACGGCACGCCTCCAACGGAACAGGCAGCTATTACAAGGGATTT